GGGTTACAGGGGGTTACAAGGGGTTACAGGGCTTCCAACGGGTTAAAGGGGTTTACAGGTGGTTAAATGGGGTTACAGGGGGTTACAAGGGGTTACTAGGAATTACATGGGGTTAGAAGCTGTTACAGGGGGTTACAAGGAGTTAAAAGAGGTTACATGTCGTTAAATGAGGTTACAGGGATTATCAGGGCTAAAAGAGGGTTACAAGGGGTTAAATGGGGTTACAGGGGCTACAAGGGGTCACAGGGGGTTACATGGGGTTAGAGGGGGTTATAAGAGGTTACAGTGGGTTAAAAGAGGTTACTTGGGGTTACAAGGTGTTACACGGGGTTACAAGGGGTTACAGAGGGTTACAAGAGGTTACATAAGGTTACAAGGGTTTAGAGGAGGGTTACAGGAGGTTACAAGGGGTTAGAGTGGGTTACATGGGGTACATGGGATTACAAGGGGTTACAGATGCCTACAAGGGGTAACAGGGGGTTACAACAGGTTACAGTGGGTTGCAAGGAGTTACAGGGGGTATATGGGGTTACAAGGGTTTACAGGGGGTTACAGGGGGTTCCAAGGGGTTACAAAAAGTTACAGGGGGTTACAAGGGGTTACAGGGGGTTACAAAGGGTTACAAGAGGTAACATGGGGTTACAAGGGGTTACAGGGGGTTACATGAAACGAAAATCTTTGTTATCGTTGTAGACACATGTGTATGTAGGCACTCTGTTGATAATAAAGCACTTATCCTATCCTATCCTACAAAGGGTTACAGTGGGTTACAAGGGGTTACATGGAATTACAAGGGGTTACAGAGGCTTAAAAGGGGTTACCGGGGGTTACAAGAGGTTACAGGAGGTTACATGGGGATATAGAGGGTTTCATGGGGCTACAGGGGTCTACAGGGGGTTACAGGGGGTTAAAAGGGGTTACAGGGGTTACAAGGTGTTACAACGGGTTAAATGGGGTTACAAGGGGTTACAGGGGGTTACATCACGATGCGAGGGGTTACGGTGGGTTACATGAAGTGACATGGTGTTACAAGGGTTAACAGAGGTTTACAAGGAGTTACCGGGGGTTAAAAGAGGTTATAGTGGGTTACAAGGGGTTACAGGGGGATACATGGGGTTACAAGGGCTTACAGTGGGCTACAGGGGTTTACAAGGGGTTGCAGGGGTTAGAAAGGGTACATGGGGTTACAAGGGGTTACAGGGGTTAGAAGGCATTACAAAGGGTTACATGGGGTTACAAAGGATTACAGAGGGTTACAAGGGGTTACAGGGGATTAGATGAGGTTACAGGGGGTTACAGTGGGTTACATGAGTTTACAAGGGGTTACAGTGGATTACATGGGGTTACATGGGCTTACAAGGGGTTACAAAGGGATACAAAGAATTACATGGGGTTACAAGGCGTTTCAAAGGGTTACGTGGGGTTGCAAAGGGTTACAGAGGGTGACAAGGGGTTACAGGGGGTTACCTGAGGTTACAAGGGGTTACGTTGGGTTACATTGGGTTACATGGGGTTACATGAGTTTACCAGGGGTTACAGTGGGTTACATGGGGTTACAAGAGGTTACAAAGGGTTACAAGGGGTTACAGGGGGTTACAAGGAGTTACAGCGGTTACAAGGGGTTATAGGGGTTACAAAGGGTTACAGGGGGTTACAAGGGGTTACAGGGGGTTACAAGGCGTTACAAGGGGTTACATGGGGTTACAAGGGGTTACAGTGGGTTACATGAGGGTACAAGGGGTTAAATGGGGTTACAAAGGGTTACAGAGAGTTACAATGGGGTTACATGGGGTTACAAAGGGTTACAGGGGCTTACAATGGGTTAGAGGGGGTTACATGGGGTTGCAGGGGGTTACATGAGGGTACAAAGGGTTAAAGGGAGTTACAAAGGGTTACAGAGGGTTACAATGGGGTTACCTTGGGTTACAAGGGGTTACAGCGGGTTATATAGGGTTAAATGGGGTTACAAGGGGTTACAGGGGATTACATGAGTTTACAAGGGGTTACAGTAGGTTACATGGGGTTACATGGGGTTACAAGTGGTTACCAAGGGTTGCATGGGGTTACAAAGGGGTTACACGAGGTTACAGGAGAGTCAACGAGTTACAGGGGTTACAAGGGCTTACAGGGGGTTACAAGGGGTTACAGGGGGTTACAAGGGGTTACATGGGGTTACAAGGGGTTACAGGGGGTTACATGACGTTACAAGGACCTACGTTGGGTTACATGGGGTTACATGGTGTTGCAAGAGTTAACCGGGGTTTACAAGGGGTTACCTGGGGTTACAAGAGGTTACAGTGGGTTAAAAGGGGTTACAGGGGTTACATGGGGTTACAAGGGGTTACAGAGGGTTACATGAAGGTACAAGGGGTTGCATGGGGTTACAAGGGGTTACAGGGGGTTACATGAGGTTAGAAGGGGTTACAGTGGGTTACATGGGGCAGGAGCCCATCAAATGGAGCCTCCATCCCCATTAATTTCTTGAGTCAACCCTTTCCCGAGTAGATTTATAAATAAAACGGTTTTTTTCCCGCGAATAGTGTCATATTTCCGTGAGTCTCGTATGTCACCGTCAAAAAAATGAAATTGGATGAAGTCGAACTCAGAAGCCTGTCCTTCGACCGTTTTCCTTTTTACTATACGTCCATTTTTATGATTTTACAGCCGCTGGGATCTGGGTATCATGAAATAAAAGTTAATGAATTACCCGACTGAGACTGAGCATGAAGCGATGGGACAAAGGCAGCGAACTGAGGATCACTGAAAGGTTATCTTTGCGAATGTTTTTATTTGTCGTCATACATTCCACAAGTAAGCATGCACTTCGAAAAGAGTCGACGATTAAGCGCTCTGTGGACGATTTGGAAGTTTTCGATGATCAGCGCCGAAAAAGTGCCAGGATCATGATTTGATTTTTGTCATCACCGTGGAGTGGATTTCACCAGTTAAGCACCGCGAGCAAAAGCGATGACCTAAGTAGCAACTAACGAGGAATGCTTTATTTCCGAAATTTGAGAAATTTCAGTCTTCCTTTACAACTGACTCGTATCACCACGAGAGTTGCCTGATATAACTGGCCCTTGAAAAGTTGAACAGAAGAGAACAGTTGCTCGACCGTGAAGCTAACTCAAAAGTAATTTACTAAAGCCGAGGAATTTGTGACATCGTGCTCCAGTCCAAACCCGGGGGGGGTACTGCCATATATGGGCTATATAGGTATATGCCGCTGTGCAGGGTATGGTTTTCAAGCAGTTTACTCTAGGATAGGGTATATAAATCAGAACATTTGGGTCTAGAACAGGGTATATTTTTCAGGAAACTGATCAGTTGGTTGAAGATCAATCTAGACTAGGGAAACAGCTACTCTAGGATAGGGGGGATTTGGGGAGTTTACTCTAGTATAGGGTAGCAAAATTCAGCGCTGAACTAGCTCTGGTATAGGTTAAGGGTTCCAGGATCCCAGCGGCACATCCCCACCCAGAAATTCCTAAAGTACACCCTATAACACTATAACTGTGTACGAAAAACGCAAAATCAGAATTTACCCAAAGGGGTTAGTCCATCGTTTTGATCAAAAATTTGAGATTTCTTCAACTTTGATTTTTATGCAAAATAGACTAAGAAAAAGTATGTGGAAACGTTCTAGTTAGTAAAAAGTTTCTATAATCCTTTGTAACCCTCTGTAACCCCTCGTCACCCCCTGTCACCCCTTGTAACCCCTTGTAACCCCCTGTAACCCCTTGTAACCCCTTGTAACCCCCTGTAATCCCCTATCACCCCTTGTAACCCCCTGTATTCCCATGTCATAGATCGTGAAAATAAATCGTGAAAAAACGATTTTCGACGTTTTATATAGCAAACAAGCCTTTCTGAACAACAAAAACATCGGTTTGAAAAACGCACAAAATTGGTCAAAAATTTAAAATTTTGTGTTCGTTTCGTTTTATGCAAAATACACCCAGAAAAAGTATTTGGTGACGTTCTCGTTAGAAAACAAGCCTTTCTAGACAATATAAACATGGATTTAAAAAGAAGGCAAAATTGGCATTTTTGCAAAGGGGATAGTCCATGATTTTGGTCAAAAAGTTGAAGTTTTTTCATCTTTTGTGTTTATCAAAAGTGGATCGAGAAAAAGTGTTTGCTGACGTTCTAGATCAAAAAGAAGCCTTTAAAGACTATAAAAAGAACTGTGTACGAAAAACGCAAAACTAGAATTTTTCCAAAGAGGTTAGTCCATCGTTTTGATAAAAAATTTTAAATTTCTTCAACTTTGATTTTTATGTAAAATAGACTAAGAAAAAGTATCTGGAAACGTTCAAGTTAGAAAAAAGTTTCTATAATCCTTTGTAACCCCCTGTAACCCATTGTCAGCCCTTGTAACCCCCATTTAACCCCTTGTAACCCCCTGTAACCCTTTGTAACCCCCTGTATTCCCATGTCATAGATCGTGAAAAAAAATCGAGAAAAAAAGATTTTCGACGTTTTATATAGGAAACAAGCCCTTCTGAACAACAAAAACATCGCTTTCAAAAACCCACAAAATTGGCATTTTTGCAAAGGGGCTAGTCCATGGTTTTGGTCAAAAATTGGAAATTTTGTGTTCGTTTCGTTTTATGCAAAATACACCCAGAAAAAGTATTTGGTGACGTTCTTGTTAGAAAACAAGCCTTTCTAGACAATATAAACATTGATTTAAAAAGAAGGCAAACCTGGCATTTTTGCAAAGGGGATAGTCCATGATTTTGGTCAAAAAGTTGAAGTTTTTTCATGTTTTGTGCTTATGAAAAATAGATCGAGAAAAAGTGTTTGCTGACGTTGTAGATAAAAAAGAGGCCTTTAAAGACAATAAAAACAACTGTGTACGAAAAACGCAAAATTATAATTTTTCCAAAGGGTTTAGTCCATCGTTTTGATCAAAAATTTGAGATTTCTTCTACTTTGATTTTAAAGCAAAATAGACCAAAAAAAGTATCTGGGAACGTTCTAGTTAGAAAAAAGTTTCTATAATCCTTTGTAACCCCCTGTAACCCCTTGTCACCCCCTGTCACCCCTTGTAACCCCTTGTAACCCCCTGTAACCCATTGTAACCCCTTGTAACCCCTTGTAACCCCCTGCAACCCCCTGTAACCCCCTGTAACCCCTTGTAACCCCCTGTATTCCCATGTCATAGATCGTGAAAATAGATCGTGAAAAAACGATTTTCGACGTTTTATATAGCAAACAAACCTTTCTGAAGAACAAAAACATCGCTTTTAAGAACCAACAAAATTGGCATTTTTGCAAAGGGGATAGTCCATGATTTTTTTTAAAAAGTTGAAGTTTTTTCATCTTTTGTGTTTTTGAAAAATGGATCGAGAAAAACTGTTTGCTGACGGTGTAGATAAAAAAGAAGCCTTTAAAGACTATAAAAAAAAAAACTGTGTACGAAAAACGGAAAATTAGAATTTTTCCAAAGGGGTTAGTCCATGGTTTAGATCAAAAATTTGAGATTTCTTCTACTTTGATTTTTATGCGAAATAGACTAAGAAAAAGTATCTGGGAACGTTCTAGTTAGAAAAAAGTTTCTATAATTCTTTGTAACCCCTTGTAACCCCCTCTTAACCCCCTGTCATCCCTTGTAACTCCTTGTAACCACTTGTAACCCGCTCTAACCCCTTGTAACCCCCGGTATTCCCATGTCATAGATCGTGAAAATAAATCGTGGAAAAACGATTTTTGACGTTTTATATAGCAAACAAGCGTCTCTGAACAACAAAAATATCGGTTTCATAAACGCACAAAATTGGCATCTTTGGAAAGGGGTTTCTCCATGGTTTTGGTCAAAAATTGGAAATTTTGTGAACGTTTCGTTTTATGCAAAATACACCCAGAAAAAGTATTTGGTGACGTTCTCGTTAGAAAACAAGCCTTTCTAGACAATATAAACATGGATTTAAAACGAAGGTAAAAATTAGCATTTAAGCAAAGGGGATAGTCCATGATTTTGGTCAAAAATTTGAAGTTTTTTCATCTTTCGTGTTTATCAAAAATAGATCGAGAAAAAGTGTTTGCTGACGTTCTAGATAAAAAAGAAACCTTTATAGACTATAAAAACAACTGTGTACGAAAAACGGAAAATTAGAATTTTTCCAAAGGGGTTAGTCCATCGTTTTGATCAAAAATTTGAGATTTCTTCAACTTCGATTTTTATGCAAAATAGACTAAGAAAAAGTATCTGGGAACGTTCTAGTTAGAAAAAAGTTTCTATAATCCATTGCAACCCCCTGTAACCCCTTGTCACCCCCCGTCACCCCTTGTAACCCGCTGTAACCCCTTGTAACCCCTTGTAACCCCTTTAACCCCCTGTAACCCCCTGTAACCCCCTGTAACCCCTTGTAACGCCTGGTATTCCCATGTCATAGATCGTGAAAATAAATCGTGGAAAAGCGATTTTCGACGTTTTATATAGGAAACAAGCCTTTCTGAACAACAAAAATATCGGTTTCATAAACGCACAAAATTGGCATTTTTCCAAAGGGGTTAGTCCATGATTTTGGTCAAAAATTGGAAATTTTGTGAACGTTTCGTTTTATGCAAAATACACCCAGAAAAAGTATTTGGTGACGTTCTCGTTAGAAAACAAGCCTTTCTAGACAATATAAACATGGATTTAAAACGAAGGTAAAAATTAGCATTTAAGCAAAGGGGATAGTCCATGATTTTGGTCAAAAATTTGAAGTTTTTTCATCTTTCGTGTTTATCAAAAATAGATCGAGAAAAAGTGTTTGCTGACGTTCTAGATAAAAAAGAAACCTTTATAGACTATAAAAACAACTGTGTACGAAAAACGGAAAATTAGAATTTTTCCAAAGGGGTTAGTCCATCGTTTTGATCAAAAATTTGAGATTTCTTCAACTTCGATTTTTATGCAAAATAGACTAAGAAAAAGTATCTGGGAACGTTCTAGTTAGAAAAAAGTTTCTATAATCCATTGCAACCCCCTGTAACCCCTTGTCACCCCCCGTCACCCCTTGTAACCCGCTGTAACCCCTTGTAACCCCTTGTAACCCCTTTAACCCCCTGTAACCCCCTGTAACCCCCTGTAACCCCTTGTAACGCCTGGTATTCCCATGTCATAGATCGTGAAAATAAATCGTGGAAAAGCGATTTTCGACGTTTTATATAGGAAACAAGCCTTTCTGAACAACAAAAATATCGGTTTCATAAACGCACAAAATTGGCATTTTTCCAAAGGGGTTAGTCCATGGTTTTTGTCAAAAATTGGAAATTTTGTGAACGTGTCGTTTTATGCAAAATACACCCAGAAAAAGTATTTGGTGACGTTCTCGTTAGAAAACAAGCCTTTCTAGACAATATAAACATGGATTTAAAACGAAGGTAAAAATTAGCATTTAAGCAAAGGGGATAGTCCATGATTTTGGTCAAAAATTTGAAGTTTTTTCATCTTTCGTGTTTATCAAAAATAGATCGAGAAAAAGTGTTTGCTGACGTTCTAGATAAAAAAGAAACCTTTATAGACTATAAAAACAACTGTGTACGAAAAACGGAAAATTAGAATTTTTCCAAAGGGGTTAGTCCATCGTTTTGATCAAAAATTTGAGATTTCTTCAACTTCGATTTTTTTGCAAAATAGACTGAGAAAAAGTATCTGGGAACGTTCTAGTTAGAAAAAAGTTTCTATAATCCATTGCAACCCCCTGTAACCCCTTGTCACCCCCCGTCACCCCTTGTAACCCGCTGTAACCCCTTGTAACCCCTTGTAACCCCTTTAACCCCCTGTAACCCCCTGTAACCCCCTGTAACCCCTTGTAACGCCTGGTATTCCCATGTCATAGATCGTGAAAATAAATCGTGGAAAAGCGATTTTCGACGTTTTATATAGGAAACAAGCCTTTCTGAACAACAAAAATATCGGTTTCAAAAACGCAGAAAATTGGCATTTTTCCAAAGGGGTTAGTCCATGGTTTTTGTCAAAAATTGGAAATTTTGTAAACGTTTCGTTTTATGCAAAATACACCCAGAAAAAGTATTTGGTGACGTTCTCGTTAGAAAACAAGCCTTTCTAGACAATATAAACATTGATTTAAAAAGAAGGCAAAATTGGCATTTTTGCAAAGGGGATAGCCCATGATTTTGGTCAAAAAGTTGAAGTTTTTTCATCTTTTGTGTTTATCAAAAATAAATCGAGAAAAAGTGTTTGCTAACGTTCTAGATAAAAAAGAAGCTTTTAAAGACTATAAAAACAACTGTGTACGAAAAACGCAAAATTAGAATTTTTCCAAAGGGGTTAGTCCATAGTTTTGATGAAAATTTAGAGATTACTTTAACTTTGATTGTTATGCAAAATAGACTAAGAAAGAGTATCTGGGAACGTTCTAGTTAGAAAAAAGTTTCTATAATCCATTGTAACCCCCTGTAACCCATTGTCACACCCTGTCACCCCTTGTAACCCCTTGTAACCCCCTGTAGCTACTTGTAACCCCTTGTAACCCCCTGTAACCCCCTGTAACCCCCTGTAACGCCTTGTAAACCCCTGTATTCCCATGTCATAGATCGTGAAAATAAATCGTGGAAAAGCGATTTTCGACGTTTTATATAGCAAACTAGCCTTTCTGAACAACAAAAATTTCGGTTTGAAAAACGCACCAAATTGGCATTTTTGCAAAGGGGTTAATCCATGGTTTTGGTCAAAAATTGGAAATTTTGTGAACGTTTCGTTTTATGCAAAATACACCCAGAAAAAGTATTTGGTGACGTTCTCGTTAGGAAACAAGCCTTTCTAGACAATATAAACATGGATTTAAAACGAAGGTAAAAATTAGCATTTAAGCAAAGGGGATAGTCCATGATTTTGGTCAAAAATTTGAAGTTTTTTCATCTTTCGTGTTTATCAAAAATAGATCGAGAAAAAGTGTTTGCTGACGTTCTAGATAAAAAAGAAACCTTTATAGACTATAAAAACAACTGTGTACGAAAAACGGAAAATTAGAATTTTTCCAAAGGGGTTAGTCCATCGTTTTGATCAAAAATTTGAGATTTCTTCAACTTCGATTTTTTTTGCAAAATAGACTAAGAAAAGTATCTGGGAACGTTCTAGTTAGAAAAAGTTTCTATAATCCATTGCAACCCCCTGTAACCCCTTGTCACCCCCGTCACCCCTTGTAACCCGCTGTAACCCCTTGTAACCCCTTGTAACCCTTTAACCCCTGTAACCCCTGTAACCCCTGTAACCCCTTGTAACGCCTGGTATTCCCATGTCATAGATCGTGAAAATAAATCGTGGAAAAGCGATTTTCGACGTTTTATATAGGAAACAAGCCTTTCTGAACAACAAAAATATCGGTTTCAAAAACGCACAAAATTGGCATTTTTCCAAAGGGGTTAGTCCATGGTTTTTGTCAAAAATTGGAAATTTTGTGAACGTTTCGTTTTATGCAAAATACACCCAGAAAAAGTATTTGGTGACGTTCTCGTTAGAAAACAAGCCTTTCTAGACAATATAAACATTGATTTAAAAAGAAGGCAAAATTGGCATTTTTGCAAAGGGGATAGCCCATGATTTTGGTCAAAAAGTTGAAGTTTTTTCATCTTTTGTGTTTATCAAAAATAGATCGAGAAAAAGTGTTTGCTAACGTTCTAGATAAAAAAGAAGCTTTTAAAGACTATAAAAACAACTGTGTACGAAAAACGCAAAATTAGAATTTTTCCAAAGGGGTTAGTCCATAGTTTTGATGAAAATTTAGAGATTACTTCAACTTTGATTGTTATGCAAAATAGACTAAGAAAGAGTATCTGGGAACGTTCTAGTTAGAAAAAAGTTTCTATAATCCATTGTAACCCCCTGTAACCCATTGTCACACCCTGTCACCTCTTGTAACCCCTTGTAACCCGCTGTAGCTACTTGTAACCCCTTGTAACCCCCTGTAACCCCCTGTAACGCCTTGTAAACCCCTGTATTCCCATGTCATAGATCGTGAAAATAAATCGTGGAAAAGCGATTTTCGACGTTTTATATAGCAAACAAGCCTTTCTGAACAACAAAAATTTCGGTTTGAAAAACGCACAAAATTGGCATTTTTGCAAAGGGGTTAATCTATGGTTTTGGTCAAAAATTGGAAATTTTGTGAACGTTTCGTTTTATGCAAAATACACCCAGAAAAAGTATTTGGTGACGTTCTCGTTAGAAAACAAGCCTTTCTAGACAATATAAACGTGGATTTAAAAGGTTGGCAAAAATGAAATTTAAGCAAAGAGGATAGTCCTTGATTTTTTTTAAAAAGTTGAATTTTTTTCATCTTTTGTGTTTATCAAAAATAGATCGAGAAAAACTGTTTGCTGACGTTCTAGATAAAAAAGAAGCCTTTAAAGACTATAAAAAAACTGTCTACGAAAAACGCAAAATTAGAATTTTTCCAAGGGGGTTAATCCATCGTTTTGATCATAATTTTGAGATTACTTGAACTTTGATTTTTATGCAAAATAGGCAAAGAAAAAGTATCTGGGAACGTTCTAGTTAGAAAAAAGTTTCTATAATCCTTTGTAACCGCCTGTAACCCCTTGTAACCCCTTGTCACCCCTTGTAACCCCTTTCACCCCCTGTAACCCCTTGTAACCCCCTGTAACCCTCTGTAACCCGTTGTAACCCCGTTATTCCCATGTCAAAGATCCTGAAAATAAATCGTGAAAAAACGATTTTCGACGTTTTATGTAGCAAACAAGCCTTTGTGAACAATAACAACATCGGTTTGAAAAACGCACAAAATTGGAATTTTTGCAAAGGGGTTAGTCCTTGGTTTTGGTCAAAAATTGGAAATTTTGAAAACGTTTCGTTTTATGCAAAATACACCCAGAAAAAGTATTAGGTGACGTTCTCGTTAGAAAACAAGCCTTTCTAGAGAATATAAACACGGATTTAAAAAGAAGGCAAAATTGGCATTATTGCAAAGGGGATAGTCCATGATTTTGGTCAAAAAGTTGAAGTTTTTTCATCTTTTGTGTTTTTCAAAAATAGATCGAGAAAAAGTGTTTGCTGACGTTCTAGATAAAAAAGAAACCTTTAAAGACTATAAAAACAACCGTGCCCGAAAAATTAGAATTTTTCCAAAGGGGTTAGTCCATCGTTTTGATCAAAAATTTAAGATTTCTTCAACTTGGATTTTTTTGCAAAATGAACTAAAAAAAGTATCTGGGAACGTTCTAGTTAGAAAAAAGTTTCTATAATCCATTGTAACCCCCTGTAACCCCCTTTAACCCCTTGTAACCCTTGGTATTCCCATGTCATAGATCACGAAAATAAATCATGAAAAAACGATTTTCGACGTTTTATATAGCGAACAAGCCTTTCTGAACAACAAAAATATCGGTTTCAAAAACGCAGAAAATTGGCATTTTTGCAAAGGGGTTAGTCCACGGTTTTGGTCAAAAATTGGAAATTTGGTGAACGTTTCGTTTTATGCAAAATACACCCAGAAAAAGTATTTGGTGACGTTCTCGTTAGAAAACAAGCCTTTCTAGACAATATAAACATTGATTTAAATTGAAGGCAAAATTGGCATTTTTGCAAAGGGGATAGTCCACGATTTTGGTCTAAAAGTTGAAGTTTTTTCATGTTTTGTGTTTTTCAAAAATGGATCGAGAAAAAGTGTTTGCTGACGTTCTAGATAAAAAAGAAGCCTTTAAAGACTATAAAAACAACCGTGCCCGAAAAATTAGAATTTTTCAAAAGGGGTTAGTCCATCGTTTTGATCAAAAATTTGAGATTTCTTCAACTTCGATTTTTTTGCAAAATAGACTAAGAAAAAGTATCTGGGAACGTTCAAGTTAGAAAAAAGTTTCTATAATCCATTGTAACCTCCTGTAACCCCTTTTCACACCGCCGTCACCCCTTGTAATATCTTGTAACCCCTTGTAACCCCCTGTAACCCCCTCTAACCCCCTGTAACCCTTTGTAACGCCTGGTATTCGCATGTCATAGATCCTGAAAATAAATCGTGAAAAAACGATTTTCGACGTTTTATTTAGGAAACAAGCCTTTCTGAACAACAAAAATATCGGTTTCAAAAACGGACAAAATTGTCATTTTTGCAAAGGGGTTAGTCCATGGTTTTGGTCAAAAATTGGAAATTTTGTGAACGTTTCGTTTTATGCAAAATACACCCAGAAAAAGTATTTAGTGACGTTCTCGTTTGAAAACAAGCCTTTCTAGACAATATAAACATGGATTTAAAAAGAAGGCAAAATTGGCATTTTTGCAAAGGGGATAGCCCATGATTTTGGTCAAAAAGTTGAAGTTTTTTCATCTTTTGTGTTTATCAAAAATAGATCGAGAAAAAGTGTTTGCTGACGTTCTAGATAAACAAGAAGCTTTTAAAGACTATAAAAAGAACTGTGTACGAAAAACGCAAAATTAGAATTTTTCCAAAGCGGTTAGTCCATCGTTTTGATCAAAAATTTGAGATTTCTTCAACTTTGATTGTTATGCAAAATAGACTAAGAAAAAGTATCTGGGAACGTTTCAGTTAGGAAAAAGTTTCTATAATCCATTGCAACCCCCTTTAATCCCTTGTCACCCCCTGTCACCCCTTGTAACCCTTGTAACCCCCTGTAACCCCTTGTAACCCACTGTAACCCCGTGTAACCCCTGGTAACCCCTTGTATTCCCATGCCATAGATCGTGAAAATAAATCGTTAAAAACTGATTTTCGACGTTTTATATAGCAAACAAGCCTTTCTGAACAACAAAAATATCCCTTTTTTTTGTTTATCAAAAATGGATCGAGAAAAAGTTTTTGCTGACGTTCTAGATAAAAAAGAGGGCATTAAAGACTATAAAAACAACTGTGAACGAAAAACGCAAAATTAGAATTTTTCCAAAGGGGTTACTCCATCGTTTTGATAAAAAATTTAAGATTTGTTCAACTTTGATTTTTTGGCAAAATAGAATAAGAAAAAGTATCTGGGAACATTCTAGTTAGAAAAAAGTTTCTATAATTCTTTGTAACCTCCTGTAACCCCTTGTCACCCCCCGTCACCCCTTGTAACCCCTTGTAACCCCCTGTAACCCCTTGTAACCCCTTGTAACCCATTGTAACCCCCTGTAACCCCCTGTAACCCCTTGTAACCCCCTGTATTCCCATGTGATAGATCGTGAAAATAAATCAAGAAGAAACGATTTTCGACGTTTTATATAGCAAACAAGCCTTTCTGAAGAACAAAAATATCGCTTTTTTGTGTTTTTCAAAAATGGATCGAGAAAAAGTTTTTGCTGACGTTCTAGATAAAAAAGAAGCCTTTAAAGACTATAAAAACAACTGTGTATGAAAAACGCAAAATTAGAATTTTTTCCAATGGGGTTAGTCCATCGTTTTGATCAAAAATTTGAGATTTCTCCAACTTTGATTGTTATACAAAATAGACTAAGAAAAAGTATCTGGGAACGTTCTAGTTAGAAAAAAGTTTCTATAATCCATTGTAACCCTCTGTAACCCCTTGTCACCCCCTGTCACCCCTTGTAACACCCTGTATTCCCATGTCATAGATCGTGAAAATAAATCGTGGGAAAACGATTTTCGACGTTTTATATAGCAAACAAACCTTTCTGAACAACAAAAATATCGGTTTCAAAAACGCACAAAATTGGCATTTTTGCAAAGGGGTTAGACCATGGTTTTGGTCAAAAATTGGAAATTTTGTGAACGTTTCGTTTTATGCAAAATACACCCAGAAAAAGTATTTAGTGACGTTCTCGTTAGAAAACAAGCCTTTCTAGACAATATAAACATGGATTTAAAAAGAAGGCAAAGTTCGCATTTTTGCTAAGGAGATCAGATAGTCCATGATTTTGGTCAAAAAGTAAAAGCTTTTTAGTCTTTTGTGTTTATCAAAAATAGATCGAGAAAAAGTGTTTTCTGACGTTCTAGATAAAAAAGAATCCTTTAAAGACTATAAAAACAACTGTGTACGAAAAACGCAAAATTAGAATTTTTCCAAAGGGTCCATCGTTTTGATCAAAATTTTGAGATTTCTTCAACTTTGATTTTTATGTAAAATAGACTAAGAAAAAGTATCTGGAAACGTTCTAGTTAGAAAAAAGTTTCTATAATCCTTTGTAACCCCCTGTAACCCCTTGTCACCCCCTGTCATCCCTGGTAACCTCTTGTATTCCCCTGTAACCCCTTGTAACCCCCTGTAACCCCTGGTAACCCCCTGTATTCCCGTGTCATAGATCGTGAAAATAAATTGTGGAAAAACGATTTTCGACGTTTTATATAGCAAACAAGCCTGTCTGAACAACAAAAATATCGGTTTAAAAAACGCACAAAATTGGCATTTTTGCAAAGAGGTTAGTTCATGGTCTTGGTCAAAAATTGGAAATTTCGAGAACGTTTCGTTTTATGCAAAATACACCCAGAAAAAGTATTTGGTGACGTTCTCGTTAGAAAACAAGCCTTTCTAGACAATATAAACATGGATTTAAAAAGAAGGCAAAATTGGCATTTTTGCAAAGGGCTTAGTCCATGATTTTGGTCAAAAAGTTAAAGTTTTTTCATCTTCTGTGTTTATCAAAAGAGATCCAGAAAAAGTGTTTGCTGACGTTGTAGATAACAGAGACGCCTTTAAAGACTATAAAAACAACTGTGTACGAAAAACGCAAAATTAGAATTTTGACAAAGGGGTTAGTCCATCGTGTTGATCAAAATTTTGAGATTTCTACAACTTTGATTTTTATGCAAAATAGACTAAGAAAAAGTATCTGGAAACGTTCTAGTTAGAAAAAAGTTTCTATAATGCATTATAACCCCCTGTAACCCCTTGTCACCCCCTGTCATCCCTTGTAACCCCTCGTAACCCCATGTAATCCCTTGTAACCCCCTGTAACCCCCTGTAACCCCTTGTAACCCCGTGTATTCCCATGTCATAGATAGTGAAAATAAATCGCGGAAAATCGATTTTCGACGTTTTATATAGCAAACAAGCCTTTCTGAACATCAAAAATATCGGTTTCAAAAACCCACAAAATTGGCATTTTTGCAAAGGGGTTAGTCCATGGTTTTGGTCAAAAATTGGAAATTTTGTGAACGTTTCGTTTTATGCAAAATACACCCAGAAAAAGTATTTGGTGACGTTCTCGTTAGAAAACAAGCCTTTATAGACAATATAAACATTGATTTAAAAAGAAGGCAAAATTGGCATTTTTGGAAAGGGGATAGCCCATGATTTTGGTCAAAAAGTTGAAGTTTTTTCATCTTTTGTGTTTATCAAAAATAGATCGAGAAAAAGTGTTTGCTAACGTTCTAGATAAAAAAGAAGCCTTTAAAGACTATAAAAACAACTGTGTACGAAAAACGCAAAATTAGAATTTTTCCAAAGGGGTTAGTCCATCGTTTTGATCAAAATTTAGAGATTACTTCAACTTTGATTGTTATGCAAAATAGACTAACAAAACGTATCTGGGAACGTTCTAGTTAGCAAAAAGTTTCTATAATCCATTGTAACCCCCTGTAACCCCTTGTCACACCCTGTCACCGCTTGTAACCCCTTGTAACCCCCTGTAGCCGCTTGTAACCCCTTGTAACCCCTTGTAACCCCCTGTAACCCCCTGTAACCCCTTGTAACCCCCTGTATTCCCATGTCATAGATCGTGAAAATAAATCGTGAAAAAATGATTTTCGACGTTTTATATAGCAAACAAGCCTTTCTGCACAAAAAAAATATCGGTTTGAAAAACGCACAATATTGGCATTTTTGCAAAGGGGTTAATCCATGGTTTTGGTCAAAAATTGGAAACTTTGTGAACGTTTCGTTTTATGCAAAATACACCCAGAAAAAGTTTTTGGTGACGTTCTCGTTAGAAAACAAGTCTTTCTAGACAATATAAACATGGATTTAAAAGGAAGGCAAAATTGAAATTTAAGCAAAAAGGATAGTCAATGATTTTTTTCAAAAAGTTGAAGTTTTTTCATCTTTTGTTTTTATCAAAAATAGATCGAGAAAAAAAACTGTTTGCTGACGTTCTAGATAAAAAAGAAGCCTTTAAAGACTATAAAAAAAACTGTGTACAAAAAACGCAAAATTAGAATTTTTCCAAAGGGGTTAGTCCATCGTTTTGATCAAAATTTTGAGATTTCTTCAACTTTGATTTTTATGCAAAATAGACTAAGAAAAAGTATCTGGGAACGTTCTAGTTAGAAAAAAGTTTCTATATTCCTATGTAACCGCCTCTAACCCCTTGTCACCCCTTGTCACCCACCCCTTGTAACCCCCTGTAACCCGTTGTAACCCCGTTATTCCCATGTCAAAGATCGTGAAAATAAATCGTGAAAAAACGATTCTTGACGTTTTATATAGCTAACAACCCTTTCTGAACAATAACAACATCGGTTTCAAAAACGCACAAAATTGGCATTTTTGCAAAGGGGTTAGTCCTTGGTTTTGGTCAAAAATTGGAAATTTTGTAAAGGTTTCGTTTTATGCAAAATACACCCAGAAAAAGTATTTGGTGACGTTCTCGTTAGAAAACAAGCCTTTCTAGACAATATAAACATGGATTTAAAAAGAAGGCAAAATTGGCATTTTTGCAAAGGGGATAGTCCATGATTTTGGTCAAAAAGTTGAAGTTTTTTCATCTTTCGTGTTTATGAAAAGTAGATAAAGAAAAAGTGTTTGCTGACGTTCTAGATAAAAAAGAAACCTTTATAGACTATAAAAACAACTGTGTACGAAAAACGGAAAATTAGAATTTTTCCAAAGGGGTTAGTCCATCGTTTTGATCAAAATTTTGAGACTTCTTCACCTTTGATTGTTATGCAAAATAGACTAAGAAAAAGTATCTGGGAACGTTCTAGTTAGAAAAAAGTTTCTATAATCCTTTGTAACCCCCTGTAACCCCTTGTCACCACTTGTAACCCCTTGTAACCCCCTGTAACCACTTGTAACCCCTTGTAACCCCTTTTAACCCCCTGTAACCCCCTTTAACCCCTTGTAACCCCGTTATTCCCATGTCAAAGATCGTGAAAATAAATCGTGAAAAAACGATTTTCGACGTTTTATATAGGAAAGAAGCCTTTTTGAACAACAAAAACATCGGTTTCAAAAACGCACAAAATTGGCATTTTTGCAAAGGTCCATGGTTTTGGTCAAAAATTGGAAATTTTGTAAACGTTTCGTTTTATGCAAAATACACCCAGAAAAAGTATTTGGTGACGTTCTCGTTAGAAAACAAGCCTTTCTTGACAATATAAACATGGGTTTAAAAAGAAGGCAAAATTGGCATTTTTGCAAAGGGGATTGTTTATGATTTTGTTCAAAAAGTTGAAGTTTTTTCATCTTTTGTGTTTCTGAAAAATGGATCGAGAAAAAGTGTATGCTGAAGTTCTAGATAAAAAAGAAGCCTTTAAAGACTATAAAAACAACTGCGCTCGAAAAAGCGCGAAATTAGAATTTTTCGAAAAGGGGTTAGTCCATCGTTTTGATCAAAAATTTGAGATTTCTTCAACTTGGATTTTTTTGCAAAATAGACTGAGAAAAAGTATCTGGGAACGTTCTAGTTACAGAAAAGTTTCTATAATCCATTGTAACCCCCTGTAACCCCTTGTCTCCCCCTGTCATCCCTTGTAAGCCGTTGTCACCCCCTATAACCCCTTGTAACTCCTTGTAACCTCCTGTAACCCTCTGTAACCCCTTGTAACCCAATGTAACCCCCTGTAACCCCTTGTAACCTCCTGTATCCCCATGTCATAGATCGTGAAAATAACTCGCGAAGAAACGATTTTCGATGTTTTATATAGCAAACAAGCCTGCCTCAACAACAAAAACATCGGTTTCAAAAACCCACAAAATTGGCATTTTTGCAAAGGGGTTAGTCCATGGTTTTGGTCAAAAATTGGAAATTTTGTGAACGTTTCGTTTTATGCAAAATACACCTAATAAAATTATTTGGTGACGTTCTCGTTAGAAAACAAGCCTTTCTAGACAATATAAACATGGATTTAAAAAGAATTCAAAATTAACATTTTTGCAAAGGGGATAGTTTATGATTTTGGTCAAAAAGTTGAATTTTCTTCTATCTTTTGTGTTTATCAAAAATAGATCAAGATAATGTGTTTGCTGACGTTCTAGATAAAAAAGAAGCCTTTAAAGACTATAAGAAAAACTGTGTACGGAAAACGCAAAATTGGAATTTTTCCAAAGGGATTAGTCCATCGTTTTGGTGAAAAATTTCAGATTTTTTCAAGTTGGAACTTTTTGCAAAATAGACTAAGAACAAGTATCTGGGAACGTTCTAGTTAGAAAAAAGTTTCTATCATCCATGGTAACCCCCTGTAAGCCCTTTTCATCCCCTGTCACCCCTTGCAACCCCCTGTAACCCCCTGTAACCCACTCTAACCTTTTGTAACCCCCTTTAACCCCCTGTAACCCCTTGTAACCCCCTGTATTCCCATGTCATGGATCGTGAAAATAAATCGTGGAAAAACCATTTTTGACGTTTTATATAGCGAACAAGCCTTTCTGAACAACAAAAATATCGGTTTCAAAAACGCCTAAAATTGGCATTTTTGCAAACGGGTTAGTCCATAGTTTTGGTGAAAAATTGGAAATTTTGTGAACGTTTCGTTTTATGCAAAATACACCCAGCAAAAGTATTTGGTGACGTTCTCGTTAGAAAACAAGCCTTTTTAGATAATATAAATATGGATTTAAAAAGGAGGCAAAATTGGCATTTTTGCAAAGGGGTTAGTCCATGATTTTGGTAAAAAACTTGAAGTTTTTTCATGTTTTGTGTTTATAAAAAATAGATCGAGAAAAAGTGTTTGCTGACGTTCTAGATAAAAAAGAAGCCTTTAAAGGCTATAAAAACAACTGTGTACGAAAAACGCAAAATTAGAAGTTTTCCCAAGGGGTTAGTCCATCGTTTTGATCAAAAATTTGAGATATCTTCAACCTTGATTGTTATGCAAAATAGACTAAGAAAAAGTATCTGGGAACGTTCTAGTTAGAAAAAAGTTTCTATAATAGTTTTTAACCCCCTGTAACCCCTTGTCACCCCCTGTAACCCCTTGTAACTCCTGTAACCCCTTGTAACCCTTTGTAACCCCCTGTAACCCCTTGTAACCCCCGCTATTCCGATGTCATAGACCGTGAAAATAAATCGTGAAAAAACGATTTTTCACGTTTTATATAGCAAACAAGCCTTTCTGAACAACAAAAATATCGGTTTCAAAAACGCACAAAATTGGCATTTTTCCAAAGGGGTTAGTCCATGGCTTTGGTCAAAAATTGGAAATTTTGTAAAGGTTTCGTTTTATGCAAAATACACCCAGAAAAAGTACTTGGTGACGTTCTCGTTAGAAAACAAGCCTTTCTAAACTATATAAACATGGATTTACAGAGAAGGCAAAATTGGCATTTTGAAAAGGGGAGCGGACAGTCCATGATTTTGGTCAAAAGGTTGAAGTTTTTTCATCTTTTGTGTTTCTCAAAAATGGATCGAGAAAAAGTGTTTGCTGACGTTCTAGATAAAAAAGAAGCCTTTAAAGACTATAAAAACAACTGTGTACGAAAAACGCAAAATTAGAATTTTTCCAAAGGGGTTACTCCATCGTTTTGATCAAAAATTTGAGATTTCTTCAACTTTGATTGTTATGCAAAAAAAACTAAGAAAAAGTATCTGGGAACGTTCTAGTTAGAAAAAAGTTTCAATAATCCATTGTAACCCCCTGTAACCCCTTTTCAACCCCTGTCACCCCTTGTAACCCCTTGTAACCCCTTGTCACCCCTTGTAACCCTTTGTAACCCCCGGTATTTCCATGTTATAGATCGTGAAAATAAATCGTGGATAAGCGATTTTTGACGTTTTATATAGCAAACAACCCTTTCTGAAGAACAAAAATATCGGTTTGAAAAACGCACAAAATTGGCATTTTTGCAAAGGGGTTAGTCCATGGTTTTGGTCAAAAATTGGAAATTTTGTGAACTTTTCGTCTTATGCAAAATACAGCCAGAAAAAGTATTTGGTGACGTTCTCGTTAGAAAACAAGCCTTTCTAGACAATATAAACATGGATTTGAAAAGAATTCAAAATTGGCATTTTTGTAACGGGGATAGGTTATGATTTTGGTCAAAAAGTTGAAGTTTTTTCATCTTTTGTGTTTATCAAAAGTAGATCGAGAAAAAGTGTTTGCTGACGTTCTAGATAAAAAAGAAGCCTTTAAAGACTATAAAAACAACTGTGTACGAAAAACGCAAAATTAGAATTTTTCCAAAGGGGTTACTCCATCGTTTTGATGAAAAATTTGAGATTTCTTCAACTTGGATTTTTTTGCAAAACAGACAAAGAAAAAATATCTGGGAACGTTCTAGTTAGAAAAAAGTTTCTATAATCCATTGTAACCCCCTGTAACCCCTTGTCACCCCCTGTCACCCTTTGTAACCCCTTGTAACCCATTGAAACCCTTTGTAACCCCCTGTAACCCAGTGCAAACCCTTGTAACCCCCTGTATTGCCATGTCATAGATCGTGAAAATAGATCGTGGAAAAACGATTTTCGACGTTTTATAAAGCAAACAAGCCTTTCTGAACAACAAAAACATCGCTATCAAAAACCCACAAAATTTGCATTTTTGCAAAGCGGTTAGTCCATGGTTTTGGTCGTAAATTGGAATTTTTTGAACGTTTCGTTTTATGCAAAATACACCCAGAAAAAGTATTTGGTGACGTTCTCGTTAGAAAACAAGCCTTTCTAGACAATATAAACATGGATTTAAAAAGAAGGCAAAATTGGCATTATTGCAAAGGGGATAGTCCATGATTTTGGTCAAAAAGTTGAAGTTTTTTCATCTTTTGTCTTTATGAAAAATAGATCGAGAAAAAGTGTTTGCTGACGTTCTAGATAAAAAAGAAGCCTTTAAAGACTATAAAAAGAACTGTGTACAAAAAACTCAAAATTAGAATTTTTGCAAAGGGGTTAGTCCATCGTTTTGATCAAAAATTTGAGATTTCTTCAACTTTGATTGTTATGCAAAATAGACTAATAAAGAGTATCTGGGAACGTTCTAGTTAGAAAAAAGTTTCTATAATCCATTGTAACCCCCTGTAACCCCTTGTCACAACCTGTCACTCCTTGTAACCTCTTGTAACCCCCTGTAACCCCTTGTAACCACTTGTAACCCCCGGTAACCCCTTGTAACCCCCGGTATTCCCATGATATAGATCGTGAAAATAAATCGTGGAAAAACGATTTTTGCAATTTTATATACCAAACAAACTTTCTGAACAACAAAAATATTGGTTTCAAAAAACGCACAAAGTTGGCATTTTTGCAAAGGGGATAGTCCACGATTTTGGTCAAAAAATTGAAGTTTTTTCATCTTTTGTGTTTATCAAAACTAGATCGAGAAAAAGTGTTTGCTGACGTTCTAGATAAAAAAGAAGCTTTTAAAGACTATAAAAACAACTGTGTACGAAAAACGCACAATTAGAATATTTCCAAAGGGGTTAGTCCATCGTTGTGATCAAAGTTTTGAGATTTCTTCAACTTTGATTGTTATGCAAAATAGACTAAGAAAAAGTATCTGGGAACGTTCTAGTTAGATAAAAGTTTCCTTAATCCATTGTAAGGCCTTTAAGCCCTTGCCACCCCCTGTCACCCCATGTAACCCCTTGTAACCCCCTGAAACCCCTTGAAACCCCTTGTAACCCCTTGTAACCCCTTGTATCCTCCTGTAACCCCCTGTAACCCATTGTAACCCCCTGTATACCCATGTCATAGATCGTGAAAATAAATCAAGAAGGAACGATTTTCGACGTTTTATATAGCAAACAAGCCTATCTGAACGACAAAAATATCGCTTTTTTGGTGTTTTTCAAAAATGGATCGAGAAAAAGTTTTTGCTGACGTTCTAGATAAAAAAGAAGCCTTTAATGACTATAAAAACAACTGTGTACGGAAAACGCAAAATTAGAATTTTTCCAAAGAGGTTACTCCATCGTTTTGATCAAAAATTTGAGATTTTCTTAAATTGGATTTTTTGGCAAAATAGACTAAGATAAAGTATCTGGGATCGTTCTAGTTAGAAAAAAGTTTCTATAATCCATTGTAACCCCCTGTAACCCCTGTTCAACCCCTGTCACCCCTTGCAACACCTTGTAACCCCCTGTAACCCCTTGTAACCCCCTCTAACCCCCTGTAACCTCCTGTATTCCATTGTCATAGATCGCGAAAATAAATCGTCAAAAAACGATTTTCGACGTTTTATATAGCAAACAAGCCTTTCTGAACAACAAAAACATCGCTTTCAAAAGCGCACAAAATTGGCATTTTTGCAAAGGGGTTAGTCGATGGTTGTGGTCAAAAATTGGAAATTTTGTGAACGTTTCGTTTTATGCAAAATACACCCAGAAAAAGTATTTGGTGACGTTCTCGTTAGAAAACAAGCCTATCTAGACAATATAAACATGGATTTAAAAAGAAGTCAAAATTGGCATTTTTGCTTAGGGAATAGTCCATCATTTTGGTCAAAAAGTTGAAGTTTTTTCATCTTTTGTGTTTATCAAAAATAGATCGAGAAAAAGTGTTTGCTGACGTTCTAGAAAAAAAAGAAGTCTGTAAAGACTATAAAAACAACTGTGTACGAAAAACGCAAAAGTAAAATTTTTCCAAACTGGTTACTCCATCGTTTTGATTAAAAATTTGAGATGTCTTCAACTTGGGTTTTTTTGCAAAATAGACTCAGAAATATTATCTGGGAACGTTCTAGTTAGAAAAAAGTTTCTATAGTCCATTGTAACCCCCTGTAACCCCTTTTCACCCCCTGTCACCACTTGCAACCCCTTGTAACCCCATGTAACCTCTTCTAACCCCTTGTAACCCCCTGTAACCCCCCGTAACCACGTTTAACCCCCTGTATTCCCATGTCATAGATCGTGAAAATAAATCAAGAAGAATCGATTTTCGACGTTTTATATAGCAAACAAGCCTTTCTGAACAACAAAAATATCGCTTTTTTGTGTTTTTCAAAAAAGGATCGAGAAAAAGTTTTTCCTGACGTTCTAGATAAAAAAGAAGCCTTTAATGAGTATAAAAACAACTGTGTACGAAAAAGGCAAAATTAGAATTTTTCCAAAGGGGTTACTCCATCGTTTTGATCAAAAATTTGAGATTTTTTCAAGTTGGATTTTTTTGCATAATAGACTAAGAAAAAGTATCTGGGAACGTTCTAGTTAGAAAAAAGTTTCTATAATCCATTGTTACGCCCTTTAACCCTTTGTCACCCCCTGTCACCCCTTGTAACCCCTCGTACCCGCCTGGTAACCCCTTGTAACCCCCTGTAACCCCCTGTAACCCCCTGTAACCCCTTGTAACCCCCTGTATTCACATGTCATAGATCGTAAAAATAAATCGTGAAAAAACGATTTTCGACGTTTTATATAGCAAACAAGCCTTTCTGAACAACAAAAACATCCCTACCAAAAACCCACAAAATTGGCATTTTTGCAAAGGGGTTAGTTCATGGTTTTGGTCATAAATTGGAAATTTTGTGAACGTTTCGTTTTATGCAAAATACACCCAGAAAAAGTATTTGGTGACGTTCTCGTTAGAAAACAAGTCTTTCTAGACAATATAAACATGGATATAAAAAGAAGGCAAAATTGGCATTTTTGCAAAGGGGATAGTCCATTATTTTGGTCAAAAAGTTGAAGTTTCTTCATCTTTTGTGTTTATCAAAAATAGATCGAGAAAAAGTGTCTGCTGACGTTCTAGAAAAGAGAAGCCTTTAAAGGTTATAAAAACAACCGTGTACGAAAAACGCAAAATTAGAAGTTTTCCCAAGGGGTTAGTCCATCGTTATGATCAAAAATTTGAGATTTCTCCAACTTTGATCGTTATGCAAAATAGACTAAGAAAAAGTATCTGGGAACGTTCTAGTTAGAAAAAAGTTTCTATACTACTTTTTAACCCCCTGTAACCCCTTGTCACTTCCAGTCACACCTTGTAACCCCCTGTAACCTCCTGTAACCCCTTGTAACCCCTTGTAACCCCTTGTAGCCCCCTGTAACCCCTGGTAACCCCCGGTATTCCCATGTCATAGACCGTGAAAATAAATCGTGAAAAAACGATTTTTGACGTTTTATATAGGAAACAAGCCTTTCTGAACAACAAAAATATCGGTTTCAAAAACGCACAAAATTGGCATTTTTGGAAAGGGGTTAGTCCATGGTTTTGGTCAAAAATTGGACATTTTGTGAACGTTTCGTTTTATGCAAAATACACCCTGAAAAAGTATTTGGTGACGTTCTCGTTAGAAAACAAGCCTTTCTTAACTATATAAACAAGGATTTACAGAGAAGGCAAAATTGGCATTTTGAAAAGGGGATCGGACAGTCCATGATTTTGGTCAAAAAGTTGAAGTTTTTTCCTCTTTTGTGTTTCTAAAAAATGGATCGAGAAAAAGTGTTTGCTGACGTTCTAGATAAAAAAGAAGCCTTTAAAGACTATAAAAACAACTGTGTACGAAACACGCAAAATTAGAATTTTTACAAAGGGGTTACTCCATCGTTTTGATCAAAAATTTGAGATTTCTTCAACTTTGATTGTTATGCAAAAAAAACTAAGAAAAAGTATCTGGGAACTTTCTGGTTAGAAAAAAGTTTCTATAATCCATTGTAACCTCCTGTAACCCCTTGTCACCCCCTGTCACCCCTTGTAACCCCTTGTAACCCCCTGTAACTTCTTGTAACCCCTTGTAACCCTTTTGTAACCCTTTGTAACCCCCAGTAACCCCCTGTAAACCCTTGTAACCCCCTCTATTCCCATGTCATAGATCGTGAAAATAGATCGTGGAAAAACGATTTTCGACGTTTTATATAGCAAGAAGGCCTTTCTGAACAACAAAACCATCGCTATCAAAAACCCACAAAATTTGCATTTTTGCAAAAGGGTTAGTCCATGGCTTTGGTCATAAATTGGAAATTTTGTGAACGTTTCGTTTTATGCAAAATACACCCAGAAAAAGTATTTGGTGACGTTCTCGTTAGAAAACAAGCCTTTCTAGACAATATAAACATGGATTTAAAAAGAAGGCAAAATTGGCATTTTTGCAAAGGGATAGTCCATGATTTTGGTCAAAAAGTTGAAATTTTTTCATCTTTTGTGTTTATCAAAAATAGATCGAGAAAAAGTGTTTGCTGACGTTCTAGATAAAAAAGAAGCCATTAAAGACTATAAAAACAACTGTGTACGAAAAACGCAAAATTAGAATTTTTCCAAAGGGGTTAGTCCATCGTTTTGATCAAAAATTTGAGATTTCTTCAACTTTGATTGTTATGCAAAATAGACTAAGAAAGAGTATCTGGGAACGTTCTAGTTAGAAAAAAGTTTCTATAATCCATTGTAACCCCCTGTAACCCCTTGTCACAACCCGTCACCCCTTGTAACCCCTTGTAACCTTCTGTAACCCCTTTTAACTCCTTGTAACTCAATGTAACCCCTTGTAACCCCCGGTTTTCCCATGTTATAGATCGTGAAAATAAATCGTGGAAAAACGATTTTTGACATTTTATATAGCAAACAAGCCTTTCTAACCAACAAAAACATTGGTTTCAAAAACGCACAAAATTGGCATTTTTGCAAAGGGGTTAGTCCATGGTTTTGGTCAAAAATTGGAAATTTAATGAGCGTTTTGTCTTATGCAAAATACACCTAGAAAAAGTATTTGGTGACGTTCTCATTAGAAAACAAGCCTTTCTAGACATTATAAACATGGATTTAAAAAGAATTGAAAATGGGCATTTTCGCAAAGGGGATAGTTTATGATTTTGGTCAAAAAGTTGAAGTTTTTTAATCTTTTGTGTTTATTAAAAATAGATCGAGAAAAAATGTTTGCTGACCTTCTAGATAAAAAAGAAGTCTTTAAAGACTATAAAAACAACTGTGTATGAAAAACTCAAAAGTAGAATTTTTCCAAAAAAGTTACTTCATCGTTTTGATTAAAAATTTGAAATTTCTTCAACTTCGATCTTTTTGCAAAATAGACTAAGAAAAAGTATCTGGGAATGTTCGAGTTAGAAAAAAGTTTCTATAATCCATTTTAACCCCCTGTAACCCTCTGTCACCCCCTGTCACCCCTTGTAACCCCTCGTAACCCCCCTGTAACCCCTTGTAACCCGTTGTAACCCCTTGTAACCCCCTGTAACCCCCTTTAACCCCTTGTAACCCCCCGTATTCCCATCTCATAGATCGTGAAAATAAATCGTGAAAAAACGATTTTCGACGTTTTATATAGCAAACAAGCCTTTCTGAACATCAAAAATATCGGTTTCAAAAACGCACAAAATTGGCATTTTTGCAAAGGGGTTAGAAAACAAGCCTTTCTAGACAATATAAACATGGATTTAAAAAGAAGGCAAAATTCGCATTTTTGCAAAGGGGATCAGATAGTCCATGTTTTTGGTCAAAAAGTAGAAGCTTTTTTATCTTTTGTTTTTATCAAAAATAGATCGAGAAAAAGTGTTTTCTGACGTTCTAGATAAAAAAGAAGCCTTTAAAGACTATAAAAACAACTGTGTACCAAAAACGCAAAATTAGAATTTTTCCAAAGGGGTTAGTCCATCGTTTTAATCAAAAATTTGAGATTTCTTCAACTTTGATTGTTATGCAAAATAGACTAAGAAAAAGTATCTGGGAACGTTCTAGTTAGAAAAAAGTTTCTATAATCCATTGTAACCCCCTGTAACCCCTTGTCCCCCCCTGTCACCCCTTGTAACCCCTTGTAACCCGCTGTAACCCCTTTTAACCCCTTCTAACCCCTTGTAACCCCCTGTAACCCCCTGTAACCCCTTGTAACCCCTGGTATTCCCATGTTATAGATCATGAAAATAAATCGTGGAAAAACGATTTTTTACGTTTTATATAGCAAACAAGCCTTTCTGAACAACAAAAAGATCGCTATCAAAAACGCACAAAATTGGCATTTTTGCAAAGGGGTTAGTCCATGGTTTTGGTCAAAAAGTGGAAATTTTGTGAACGTTTCGTTTTATGCAAAATACACCCAGAAAAAGTATTTGGTGACGTTCTCGTTAGAAAACAAGCCTTTCTTGACAATATAAACATGGATTTAAAAAGAAGGCAAAATTGGCATTTTTGCAAAGGGGATAGTCCATGATTTTGGTCAAAAAGTTGAAGTTTCTTCATCTTTTGTGTTTATGAAAAATAGATCGAGGAAAAGTGTTTGCTGACGTTCTAGATAAAAAAGAAGCCTTTAAAGACTATAAAAACAATTGTGTAGGAAAAACGCAAAATTAGAATTTTTCCAAAGGGGTTAGTCCATCGTTTTGATCAAAAATTTGAGATTTCTTCAACTTTGATTGTTATCCAAAATAGACTAAGCAAAAGTATCTGGGAACGTTCTAGTTAGAAAAAAGATTCAATAATCCATTGTAACCCCCTGTAACCCCTTGTCAACCCCTTTCACCCCTTGTAACCCCTTGTAACCCCCTGTAACCTCTTGTAACCCCTTGTAACCCCTTGTAACCCCCTGTAACCCTCTGTAACCCCTTGTAACCCCCTGTATTCCCATGTTATAGATGGTGAAAATAAATCGTGGAAAAACCATTTTTGACGTTCCATATAGCAAACAAGCCTTTCTGAACATCAAAAATATCGGTTTCAAAAACGCACGAGATTGACATTTTTGCAAAGGGGTTAGTCCATGGTTTTGGACAAAAGTTAGAAATTTTGTGAACGTTTCGTTTTATGCAAAATATACCCAGAAAAAGTATTTGGTGACGTTCTCGTTAGAAAAGAAGCCTTTCTAGACAATATAAACATGGATTTAAAAAGAAGGCAAAATTGGCATTTTTGCAAAGGGGATAGTCCATGATTTTGGTCAAAAAGTTGAAGTTTCTTCATCTTTTGTGTTTATGAAAAATAGATCGAGAAAAAGTGTTTGCTGACGTTCTAGATAAAAAAGAAGCATTTAAAGACTATAAAAACAATTGTGTAGGAAAAACGCAAAATTAGAATTTTTCCAAAGGGGTTAGTCCATCGTTTTGATCAAAAATTTGAGATTTCTTCAACTTTGATTGTTATGCAAAATAGACTAAGAAAAAGTATCTGGGAACGTTCTAGTTAGAAAAAAGATTCAATAATCCATTGTAACCCCCTGTAACCCCTTGTCAACCCCTGTCACCCCTTGTAACCCCTTGTAACCCCCTGTAACCCCCTGTAACCTCTTGTAACCCTCTGTAACCCCCTGTAACCTCCTGTATTCCATTGTCATAGATCGCGAAAATAGATCGTGAAAAAACGATTTTCGACGTTTTATATAGCAAACAAGCCTTTCTGAACAACAAAAACATCGCTTTTGAAAACGCACAAAATTGGCATTTTTGCAAAGGGGTTAGTCCATGGTTTTGGTCAAAAATTGGAAATTTTGTCAACGTTTCGTTTTATGCAAAATACACCCAGAAAAAGTATTTGGTGACGTTCTCGTTAGAAAACAAGCCTTTCAAGAGAATATAAACATGGATTTAAAAAGAAGGGAAAATTGGCATTTTTGCAAAGGGGATAGTCCATTATTTTGGTCAAAAAGTTGAAGTTTTTTCATCTTTTGTGTTTCTCAAAAATGGATCGAGAAAAAGTGTTTGCTGACGTTCTAGATAAAAAAGAAGCCTTTAAAAACTATAAAAACAATTGTGTACCAAAAACGCAAAATTAGAAGTTTTGCAAAGGGGTTAGTCCATGGTTTTGATCAAAAATTTGAGATTTCTTCAACTTTGATTGTTATGCAAAATAGACAAAGAAAAAGTATCTGGGAACGTTCTAGTTAGAAAAAAGATTCAATAATCCATTGTAACCCCCTGTAACCCCTTGTCAACCCCTGTCACCCCTTGTAACCCCTTGTAACCCCTTGTAACCCCCTGTAACCCCTTGTATGCCCTTGTAACCCCTTGTAACCCCTTGTAACCCCCTGTAACCCCCTGTAACCCCTTGTAACCCCCGGTATTCCCATGTTATAGATCGTGAAAATAAATCGTGGAAAAGTCATTTTTGACGTTCTATATAGCAAACAAGCCTTTCTGAACATCAAAAATATCGGTTGCAAAAACGCACGAAATTGGCATTTATGCCGATACCCTAAAAGTTAGTTCGGGAGCTCTGATTGAAGTCACGCTATTGTTCCGCTACAGTACCACAGACAGAGAAGCCACTCGAGTGTTGGCATTATTTGGCCACTTGTCTGAGTGGCAGTTTAATTGATTATAAAACAGACGCATTAGTTCACAACAATAATACTAAATAATCTATATTATTTTCAGCAAAGGTGGGGCAAGAAATTCGCCCAATGAATGAACTAAGTGATAGACGCATAGAAGATCTCCCGACTCGTGGCAAAGTGGGATGGGGGGGAGGGAAAAAAATTTTTTCCGCAGAGATGTAATCGCCGTGATGGTGAAAGTAAGAGGGGACGAACGCGGGAATGCATGCTCCTTTACACGAACACTCCCTCAGGGCGATAGAAATGATTGGCTCTTGAAAGAGAGGTTAGATTGATATGAGTCGGAAGACCAACCATGTAGACCACAAAGGCATATTGTATCGACATAAATAACATTATGCCCTAACATAATGTTTGGTTTTATGCCGATACCCTAAAAGTTAGTTCGGGAGCTCTCATTGAAGTCACGCTATTGTTCCGCTACAGTACCACAGACAGAGAAGCCACTCGAGTGTTGGCATTATTTGGCCACTTGTCTGAGTGGCAGTTTAATTGATTATAAAACAGACGCATTAGTTCACAACAATAATACTAAATAATCTATATTATTTTCAGCAAAGGTGGGGCAAGAAATTCGCCAGAAGCCACAAAAATGTGGCAGCCCCACCAAAACGACAATGAGAGCTCACGGAATAAATAATCATCGAGTAGGCACATGTGCCACGTGGAATATAATTTGAGAAACGTCAGAAACGCAGAAAAGCCATAGCAGCCACCAGAGTGACCTATAGCAAGTTTAAACGCGTTGAAGCATACTGTATAATACATAATGTTGTAGTGAATATGCATTTATCTTTGCGAGGACCTTTGTATCTCTCTGTTACCCATGTAGCATAAAATGACATGAAATATAGAGCGAAAGCAGCCGCATGTCTGACCTTTGGCTCCAACGGGGGAAAGAGTAAAATTGCTGAACGAAAAGTTGTGGAAAAGTAAAATGAGGGGTCCAATGGCAGCCCATGACTGACCCACGGAGCCCATCAGATGGTGTATTATAACTGTAAGATTCTTAGCATGTAGTCATCCAAAGATAACCGGGAACGGCAAAAAACAGATGGCAGCCACATGTCTGACCCATCACTGATTCACGAAACCTATCTTAGCGTAATATCAGCCTTATAGTATAATAATAATTATTAGTAAGGGCAGAACAATTGGCAGCCGCATGTCTGACCCATTTTTTCCCCCGCGACAGAACACTACCGGATGGTGCGTGACCTACATACTATTTATTTGCATGTAAGCTTTCAGAGCGAATGTACGACTTAAAAGCATCGGATTTCCAGCGACCGAGAGTGCGAATTTGAGCGTCCGAGAAACCTTTATCGGCTGCATGAGACGCGGCACCAATGCGAAAGCTATGTCCCTTGTATCTCTTAGTATCGAGGCCACAAAAAGTTAGGCAGCGAGAAAGTTCGGTGTTAAACTGATACACTGTGATGGGCTCGAGGTTCTGATGGCAGAACAGCGGGCCCGGTTGCACTCCGCGAAGTTGACAATAATTGATAAGGCCTTGAACGGGACAGAAAGGCATCGCAGCCTCACGTTCTATAAGAATTTCAAATGGTTTCCTTGACGTATTGTGCTTGAAGTCGGTAATCGTTAGCTTAATCATATAGGGTGTGCCGTCGCTCATAAGAAAAGTTAGATCCTTGAATTGGAGCAAGGAGCAGTGTCGACCTGCACTCTTGGCCGCGAGTTCTCCGATGCGAAAGAAACTATAAAAGGCCAACAAAAACATCGCGGAATAAAGACAACGTTGAAAAGCCGAAGAGTTGGTCTGGCGGAGAGAGCAGAGAAGCTCGTGTAAAACAGGTCTAGTGATGGGTAAGCGAACATCAGCAGCACGTTGGCGGCTCAGGGCCGTTAACAACTTTTGAATCAGAAATGACTTTGTAGGGTCAGGACGTCCCATTAATTTATGGACATAACTGAGAGCGGACAAATAAGAGGTTATCGTAGACGGGGTGAGTTGTTTGGCCGAGAGATAAGAGATAAATAACGCCACCTTTGTATATGGTAATGGAAGGGTCGGTGTGGTCGTCCCAAAGAAACGTCCGTGAAATTCTGAAAAAATGAGCCACGCTCTACGGTACGAGTTGCGAGAGCCAGTAGCCAAGGCCGAGCCTAACAAGTCTCTCAAGTGAGAGACCAACTCTCCGGCTGTAGGTTCGTTGGTACTGCTGTTGGAAATTCGTCCGCCTCCGGCGAGAGTTCCTTGAATTTCTCCACCTGTAAACGGGAGATGCAATCGGCACGACTATTCTGTAAGCCTGGGACGTGGCTAGCTCGAAATAATATGTTATACTTTAAGCAGCTAAGTACGAGGTCACGTATAAGAATCATGACCTGTTTATGTTTGGACGTTTGTTTGTTTATAATATCAACAAGGGCCGCATTGTCAGTGAAAAATAAGACGCAACTGTTTGCCATGGTGGCCCCCCAAATATGGACCGCGAGAGTAATAGGAAAAAGCTCTAGAAAACTTATATTAAGGCTGTGCCATGCTATAGGAAAAGGACCATAAAACCAATGCTTTCCAAATATCGCGCCGTACCCCTTTGATGCCGCGGCATCTGTATATAATTCGAGAGTCGATGAAGTGGCCCATCGCTCTGATAGAAAAAACGCTCGGCCGTTAAAATTATCTAAAAACTGTAACCACATTCGGATGTCATTTTTAGCTTCGGTGTTGAAACGGATGTGATGGTGGGGGCGTGTGACGCCTGCGGTAAGATCGATTAGTCGACGCAAAAAGGCGCGTCCTGGAGTGACCACGGAACAACAGAAGTTTAATAGGCCAATTAAAGACTGTAGTTCGCGCAATGTGACCGATCTTTTCTGCGCAAATTGGTGGAGCAGGGCGCGACATTTGTGAATCTTTTCTGAAGGCAACCTGGCTTCTTGCCTTACAGAATCTAATTCAATTCCCGCAAACTGAAGAGTGGTGAGGGGACCTAACGTTTTCTCATGTGCAATAGGCACACCGAGGAAGTCACACATACTCAAAAAATTAGAAAGATCGGCTTTGCATTTATCATGACTATGCGCGATAAATAAAAAGTCGTCTAAGATATGCAAGACCGCAGACACCTTCAAGTGGTGGACTGCTAGCCACTCTAAGGAAGTACTAAATTTTTCAAAAATAGCACAACTCGATTTTAATCCCATAGCTAAACACCTGTCAAAATAATACTGACTGTCCCATTTTATGCCGAGTAGAGGATAGTCAAGAGGACTCACTGGGATGATCCTGAAAGCTGACTTAATATCTGTTTTTGCTAAGTAAGAACCCGTCCCCAGTCGTTGAAGAATTTTAACAGCATCATTAATCGTGGCATACGGAAGAGCAGTCATCCGGAATGCTATCGTTAATAGATAAGCCTCTGGGATATGACAGGTGGTGGATTAGCCTAAACTCATTTGGGACCTTTTTGGGAACTATGCCAACGGGCGATGTACGAAAAACAGGAAAGGGTGCGGTGTCAAAAGGTCCCGCAATTCTTCCAGCATCAAGTTCTTTAGATAGTTTCGAAAATAGAATGTCCGGATTTTGCAGAGCACTTTTTAAATTTGGGGCCTCAAATGAGGTAATTTCTCCTATGAAATTAATTCGAAAACCGAAACGGAAACCGTTGATTAAGTATTGTTTCAGGGTTTGGTCGTATCCCGCGAGGAGCTGTTCAAACCGGTCCACTCTTACGGGAGTTACTAGGGAATTGCCCCGAAGGCTGAGCTGAAATTGATGCTCCGGACTTAACAGGATTTGTTCGCAGATGGGAGTTTTGGTTTTGGCACTGGGTGGCGGGATGTTTCGCACCGCACTTGAAGCACACGTGCTCGTATTGGCAACCTCGGCAGTGCCTCCCTGAATGAAATGACCAACAGGTTCCCCTAGGAAAGGGGGGAGTGGAGGTTCGAAATCGCCCCCGCGGGGTTGTTCTATCACTACCGGTGAAAGATTGTGATTTGACCCGAAAATTAGTCATGGCACGTAGCCATAGCTCCCAATGAATTTGATCCCACGGGTAAAATTCAGGGGACGATTGTCGCAAATAACGAAACTGCTCATCATAGAAAATCCAGTCCCCAGACTTATTAGCAAGGTCACGCACCACTTCGCAATATTTCATTAGCTTAGGGGCATCCTGGGAACATTTTACGGAATAAATGGATACAAATGTGTTAAAAGCGGTGAGCCACTGGCTGATATTAGTGACCTTTTTTCGGTGTATGATAAGGCTCGAGAGTTAACTGTGGTTGATTTACGGCACCCCACTGGAAACCATGGAAAGAGCAAACTTTTCTCGAGGGGTGCGACAGAGAGCAGTGCCCCAAAGTCAATATATTCATTTGCCCAGATTTTCGCTTTGATTTTAGCGCTAACACGAGAACCTAGATTAACAGCTATGCTAGAGAAGGGGTGGCTAGGCTGATCGCTAACCCCAAGCAATTCTGGTAGGGGTGCCTGTTCAATTGTACCTGTTGTATATGAGAGGACTTCGTTTTGCACAACCTGCTCTACTGCGGCTGACGGCGTTGGCGTTGGCATTACCGTACTGGAGACCGTGGCTTGATGCGCAGCCATTGCATCCTTTACGGCCTGTGCGACGGCCACGGAAATAGTACTTGTGAGAGCCCGCACGTCCAGCTGCATCGCTCCTTGTCCTCCTTGTATTTCTCTTCCTTGTCCAGTTTGCTGCTGAGGCATCGGAGGATTCTCCACAACCGATGAAGGTCCGGCCTCAGAGAGGTCTGTTCGTAGCCGTTTCGAGCGCCTGGCTTGTGGGGCGGTGGTACGCTTCGCAGGAGGCATTTTTCAATGATAAAAAACTAACTATAAGTGATAGATGTGATAGGCAGTGAAACAAGTGTTAGAAATAAGGTTTAATGCCAAATAATTTAGAAAAAGGGGGTCATCAGAGGAGCCGATCCAAAGCAGGTATTTGAATTTGCGTAATGACTCGAGTGCAAAATTGACACGAAAAAATAGTGAGGGTTATACCTCATAAGTAGTAACGAAAAAAGATACCCATTTCCACAACACAATAACATTAGAGCATTGACAGTATACCGAGTGCATTGGACACACCCACATATGCAGGCGGTCAAAATGGATTGTACACTCATAACATGGTAACTGCAAGCAAACAAACATACATACCAAAGCCGGTAATAGGAAGGCACACAGTGCACTTCTAAGGTTTCAGAAACCACAAAATTTGGCCATAAGTGGTCAGCAAAATGCGGCAAATAATTGCCGGAAATCAAACAGAACAACCAGCTAAACCACAAGGCGATAACCCACGCGGCTTGGTTTGAAATAAAAACCAGATAAGTAAATAGGAAATGGGCAAGTGAAAATGGTTACGAAAACTAGTTGGGCTGCTCGCCAGAACGTGCCCAAGAATGCAAAGACTTTAAAACGGCCCCCCTGAGACTTCGGTAATACTTATAGTGCCCCCGCTTATTAAGATGAACACCATCACGAGCGAAATATCTCTGCGAAGTATTCCAAAAACCTCTGTGACCCCAAAAAAAGCAATAGGGAATTGGCTCTAGAAGGACCTTCAGATATTTCGTGAGGGCTTTAACACGTGCGTTAAAGGCAGCATCATTTTCGCGAATTAGCGTTTGGCAAACACAAATTTGTCGCACACTGTGCTCTTCGTACAGAATACCTACTAAGTCTTCGATTGCCGAAGCTGCTACTAAGGGATCTAGGTGGGAAAGATCATTAGTTCCCAACTGTAGTATCACGATATGGGGAGCAAACGACTCCACCACGTGGAGATCACAGCGAATAGTTTTTTCAACTGTTCGACCTCCTACACCATGCCATTTAAACTGGGCAGGCTCGTGTATCATAAAACGATGATCAAGATGAGTACTATCAGTAATAAAGCTATTTAAACGGCGAATAAAAGAGTGCCCGAGAATTAACACACGAGGCTCACCCATCGCAATTTATGTTAAAAAACTGAATATAGAATGTACAAGAAAAAAAAAAAAAAAAAAAAAGAAATGGCACGCTAGGTGCAAAATCGCTAAGTTGATTACAGGGATAAATGTTATAGAGATGGTAAAATATAATAGGACTTGCCTGACAAAAAATTTTTTCCGCAGAGATGTAATCGCCGTGATGGTGAAAGTAAGAGGGGACGAACGCGGGAATGCATGCTCCTTTACACGAACACTCCCTCAGGGCGATAGAAATGATTGGCTCTTGAAAGAGAGGTTAGATTGATATGAGTCGGAAGACCAACCATGTAGACCACAAAGGCATATTGTATCGACATAAATAACATTATGCCCTAACATAATGTTTGGTTTTTTGCAAAGGGGTTAGTCCATGGTTTTGGTGAAAAATTGGAAATTTTGTCAACGTTTCGTTTTATGCAAAATATACCCAGAAAAAGTATTTGGTGACGTTCTCGTTAGAAAACAAGCCTTTCTAGACAATATAAACATGGATTTTAAAAGAAGGCAAAATTGGCATTTTTGCAAAGGGGATAGTCCATGATTTTGGTTAAAAAGTTGAAGTTTTTTCATCTTTTGTGTTTATCAAAAATGGATCGAGAAAAAGTGTTTGCTGACGTTCTAGATAAAAAAGAAGCCTTTAAAGACTATAAAAACAACTGTGTATGAAAAACGCAAAATTAGAATTTTTCCAAAGTTGTTAGTCCATCCTTATGATCTAAATTTTGAGATTTCTTCAACTTTGATTGTTATGCAAAATAGACTAAGAAAAAGTATCTGGGAACGTTCTAGTTAGAAAAAAGTTTCTTTAACCCATTGTAACGCCCTGTAACCCTTTTTCCCCCCCTGTCACCCCTTGTAGCCCCTTGTAACCCCCTGTAACCCCTTGTAACCCCTTGTAACCCCTTGTAACCCCCTGTAACCCCTTGTAACCCCCTGTATTCCCATGTCATAGATCGTGAAAATAAATCAAGAAGAAACGATTTTCGACGTTTTATATAGCAAACAATCCCTTCTGAACAACAAAAATATCGCTTTTTTGTGTTTTTCAAAAAAGGATCGAGAAAAAGTTTTTGCTGACGTTCTAGATAAAAAAGAAGCCTTTAAAGACTATAAAAACAACTGTGTACGAAAAACGAAAAATTATAATTTTTCCAAAGGGGTTACTCTATCGTTTTGATAAAAAATTTGATATTTCTTCAAGTTGGATTTTTTTTGCAAAATAGACTAAGAAAAAGTATCTGGGAACGTTCTAGTTAGAAAAAAGATTCAATAATCCATTGTAGCCCCCTGTAACCCCTTGTCAACCCCTGTCACCCCTTGTAACCCCTTCTAACCCCCCGTAACCCCTTGAAACCCCTTGTAACCCCTTGTAACCCCTTGTAACCCCCTGTAACCCCCTGTAACCCCTTGTAACCCCCGGTATTCCCATGTTATAGATCGTGAAAATAAATCGTGGAAAAACCATTTTTGACGTTCTATATAGCAAACAAGCCTTTCTGAACAATAAAAATATCGGTTTCAAAAACGCACGAAATTGGCATTTTTGCAAAGGGGTTAGTCCATGGTTTTGGTGAAAAATTGGAAATTTTGTGAACGTTTCGTTTTATGCAAAATACACCCAGAAAAAGTATTTGGTGACGTTCTCGTTAGAAAACAAGCGTTGCTAGACAATATAAACATAGATTTAAAAAGAAGGCAAAATTGGCATTTTTGCAAAGGGGATAGTCCATGATTTTGGTGAAAAAGTTCAAGTTTTTTAATCTTTTGTGTTTCTCAAAAATGGATCGAGAAAAAGTGTTTGCTGACGTTCTAGATAAAAAAGAAGCCTTTAAAGACTATAAAAACAACTGTGTACGAAAAACGCAAAATTAGAATTTTTCCAAAGGGGTTAGTCTATCGTTGTGATCAAAATTTGGAGATTTCTTCAACTTTGATTGTTATGCAAAATAGACTAAGAAAAAGTATCTGGGAACGTTCTAGTTAGAAAAAAGTTTTTTTAATCCATTGTAACCCCCTGTAACCCCTTGTCACCCCCTGTCATCCCTTGTAACCCCTTGTAACCCCCTGTAACCCCTTGTAACTCCTTGTAACAACTTGTAACCCCCTTTAACCCCTTGTAGCCCCCGGTATTCCCATGTCATAGAGCGTGAAAATAAATCGTGAAAATACGATTTTCAACGTTTCATATAGCAAACAAGCCTGTCTGAACAACAAAAACATCGCTTTCAAAAACCCACAAAATTGGCATTTTTGCAAGGGGGTTAGTCCATGGTTTTGGTCAAAAATTGGAAATTTTGTGAACGTTTCGTTTTATGCAAAATACACCCAAAAAAAGTATTTGGTGACGTTCTCGTAGAAAACAAGCCTTTCTAGACAATATAAACATGGATTTGAAAAGAAGGCAAAATTGGCATTTTTGCAAAGGGGATAGTCCATGATTTTGGTCAAAAAGTTGAAGTTTTTTCACCTTTTGTGTCTCTCAAAAATGGATCGAGAAAAAGTGTTTGCTGACGTTCTAGATAAAAAAGAAGCGTTTAAAGACTATAAAAACAAGTTTGTACGAAAAACGCAAAATTAGAATTTTTCCAACTGGGTTAGTCCATCGTTGTGATCAAAATTTTGAGATTTCTTCAACTTTGATTGTTATGCAAAATAGACTAAGAAAAAGTATCTGGGAACGTTCTAGTTAGAAAAAAGATTCAATAATCCATTGCAAAACCCTGTAACCTCTTGTCAACCCCTGTAACCCCTTGTAACCTCTTGTAACCCCCTGTAACCCCTTGTAACCCCTTGTAACACCCTGTAACATCTTGTAACCCCTTGTAACCCCCTGTATTCCCATGTTATAGATCGTGAAAATAAATCGTGGAAAAACCATTTTTGACGTTCTATATAGCAAAAAGGCCTTTCTGAATAACAAAAATATCGGTTTCAAAAAGGCACAAAATTGGCATTTTTGCAAAGGGGTTAGTACATGGTTTTAGTCAAAAATTGGAAATTTTGTGAACGTTTCGTTTTATGCAAAATACACCCAGAAAAAGTATTTGGTGACGTTCTCTTGAGGAAACAAGTCTTTCTAGACAATATAAACATGGATTTAAAAAGAAGGCAAAATTTGCATTTAAGGAAAGGGGATAGTCCATGATTTTGGTGAAAAAGTCGAAGCTTTTTTATCTTGTGTGTTTATCTAAAATAGATCGAGAAAAAGTGTTTCCTGACGTTCTAGATAAAAAAGAAGTCTTTAGAGACTATAAAAACAACTGTGTACGAAAAACGCAAAATTAGAATTTTTCCACAGAGGTTAGTCCATCGTTCTGATGAAAATTTTGAAATTTCGTCAACTTTGATTGTTATGCAAAATAGACTAAGAAAAAGTATCTGGGAACGTTCTAGTTAGAAAAAAGTTTCTATAATCCATTGTAACTCCCTGTAACCCTTTGTCACCCCCTGTCACCCCTTGAAACCCCTTGTAACCCCCTGTAACCCCTTGTAACCTTTTGTAACCCCCTGTAATCCCCTGTAACCCCTTGTAACCCCTCGTAACCCTCTTGTAACCCCTAGTAACCCCTTGTAACCCCCTGTAACCCCCTGTAACCGCTTGTAACCCCCGGTATTCCCATGTCATAGATCGTGAAAATAAATCGTGAAAAAACGATTTTCGACGTTTTACATAGCAAACAAGTTTTTCTGAACAACAAAAACATCCCTATCAAAAACCCACAAAATTGGCATTTTTGCAAAGGGGTTAGTCCATGGTTTTGGTCAAAAATTGGAAATTTTGTGAACGTTTCGTTTTATGCAAAATACACCCAGAAAAAGGAATTGGTGACGTTCTCGTTAGAAACCAAGCCTTTCTAGACAATAGAAACATGGATTTAAAAACAAGGCAAAATTGGCATTTTTGCAAAGGGGATAGTCCATGATTTTGGTCAAAAAGTTGAAGTTTTTTCATCTTTTGTGTTTCTCAAAAATGGATCGAGAAAAAGTGTTTGCTAACGTTCTAGATAAAAAAGAAGCCTTTAAAGACTATAAAAACAACTGTGTACGAAAAACGCGAAAATTAGAATTTTTCCAAAGGGTTTAGTCCATGGTTTTGATCAAAAATTTGAGATTTCTTCTGCTTTGATTTTCATGCAAAATAGACCAAAATAAGTATCTAAGAACGTTCTAGTTAGAAAAAAGTTTCTATAATCCTTTGTATTCCCCTGTAACCCGTCTTCACCCCCTGTCACAACTTGTAACCCCTTGTAACCCCCTGTAACCCCTTGTAACCCCTTGTAACCCCTTTTAACCCTTTGTAACCCCCTTTAACCCCCTGTAACCCCCTGTACTCCCTTGAAACCCCCTGTATTCCCATGTCATAGATCGTGAAAATAATTCGTGAAAAAACGATTTTCGACGTTTTATATAGCAAACAAACCTTTCTGAACAACAAAAACATCGCTTTTAAGAACCCACAAAATTGGCATTTTTGCAAAGGGGTTAGTCCATGGTTTTGGTCAAAAATTGGAAATTTTGTGAACGTTTCGTTTTATGCAAAATACTCCCAGAAAAGGTATTTGGTGACGTTCTCGTTAGAAAACAAGCCTTTCTAGACAACATAAACATGGATTTAAAAAGAAGGCAAAATTAGCATTAAAGCAAAGGGGATAGTCCATGATTTTGGTCAGAAAGTTGAAGTTTTTTCATCTTTTGTGTTTATCAAAAATTGATCGAGAAAAAGAGTTTGCTAACGTTCTAGATAAAAAAGAAGCCTTTAAAGACTATAAAAACAACTGTGTACAAAAAACGCAAAATTGCACTTTTTAAAAAGGGGTTAGTCCATCGTTTTGATCAAAAATTTGAGATTTCGTCAACTTTGATTTTTTTGCAAAATAGACTAACAAAAAGTATCTGGGAACGTTCTAGTTAGAAAAAGTTTCTATAATCGTTTGTTACCCCCTGTAACCCCTTGTCACCCTCTGTCACCCCTTGTAACCCCTCGTAACCTCGTCTAACCCGTTTGTAACCCCTTGTAAGACCGTCTAGCCCCCTGTAACTCCCTGTAACCCCTTGTAACCCCGTGTATTCCCATGTGATAGATCGTGAAAATAAATCGTCAAAAAACGATTTTCAACTTTTTATATAGAAAACAAGCCTTTCTGAAAATTAAAAACATCGGTTAAAAAAGCACAAAATTGGCATTTTTGCAAAAGGGTTATTCATTTTCATCTTTTGTGTTTATCAAAAATGGATCGAGAAAAAGTGTTTGCTGACGTTCTTAATAAAAAGCAAGCCTTTAAAGACTATAAAAACAACTGTGGACGAAAAACGGAAAATTAGAATTTTTCCAAAGGGGTTAGTCCATCGCTTTGATGAAAAATTTGAGATTTCTTCAACTTTGATTGTTATGCAAAATAGAGTAAGAAAAAGTATCTGGGAACGTTCTAGTTAGAAAAAGGATTCAATAATCCATTGCAACACCCTGTAACCCCTTGTCAACCCCTGTAACCCCTTGTAACCCCCTGTAACCCCTTGTAACCCATTGTAACGCCTTGTAACCCCCTGTAACCCCCTGTAGCCCCTTGTAACCCGCTGTATTCCCATGTCATAGATCGTGAAAAAAAAACGTGAAAGAACGATTTTCGACGTTTTATATAGCAAACAAGCCTTTCTGAACAACAAAAACATCGGTTTCAAAAACCCACAAAATTGGCTTTTTTGCAGAGGGGTTAGTCCATGGTTTTGGTCAAAAATTGGAAATTTTGTGAACGTTTCGTTTTATGCAAAATACACCCAGAAAAAGTATTTGGTGACGTTCTCGGTAGAAAACAAGCCTTTCTAGACAATAAAAACATTGATTTAAAAAGAAGGCAAAATTGGCATTTTTGCAAAGGGGATAGCCCATGATTTTGGTCAAAAAGTTGAAGTTTTTTCATGTTTTGTGTTTCTCAAAAATGGATCAAGAAAAAGTGTTTGCTGACGTTCTAGATAAAAAAGAAGCCTTTAAAGACTATAAAAAGAACCGTGTCCGAAAAATTAGAATTTTTCCAAAGGGGTTAGTCCATCGTTTTGATCAAAAATTTGAGATTTCTTCAACTTGGATTTTTTTGCAAAATAGACTAAGAAAAAGTATCTGGGAACGTTGTAGTTAGAAAAAAGTTTCTATAATCCATTGTAACACCCTCTAACCCCTTGTCACCCCCCGTCACCCGTTGTAACCCCTTGTAACCCGCTGTAACCCCTTGTAACCCCTTCTAACCCCTTGTAAACCCCGGTAACCCCCTGTAACCCCCTGTAACCCCTTGTAACGCCTGGTATTCCCATGTCATAGATCGTGAAAATAAATCGTGAAAAAACGATTTTCGACGTTTTATATAGCAAACAAGCCTTTGTGAACAACAAAAATATCGGTTTCAAAACCCACAAAATTGGCATTTTTGCAAAGGGGTTAGTCCATGGTTTTGGTCAAAAATTGGAAATTTTGTGAACGTTTCGTTTTATGCAAAATACACCCAGAAAAAGTATTTGGTGACGTTCTGGGTAGAAAACAAGCCTTTCTAGACAATATAAACATGGATTTAAAAAGAAGGCAAAATTGGCATTTTTGCAAAGGGGATAGTCCATGATTTTGGTCAGAAAGTTGAAGTTTTTTCATCTTTTGTGTTTATCAAAAATAGATCGAGAAAAAATGTTTGCTAACGTTCTAGATAAAAAAGAAGCTTTTAAAGACTATAAAAACAACTGTGTACAAAAAACGCAAAAGTAGAATTTTTCCAAAGGGGTTAGTCCATCGTTTTGATAAAAATTTAGAGATTACTTCAACTTTGATTGTTATAAAAAGAATAGACTAAGAAAAAGTATCTGGGTACGTTCTAGTTAGAAAAAAGTTTCTATAATCCATTGTAACCCCCTGTCACCCTTTGTAACCCCTTGTAACCCCCTGTAACGCCCTGTAACCCCTTGTAACCCCGTTATTCCCATGTCAAAGATCGTGAAAATAAATCGTGAAAAAACGATTTAGGACGTTTTATATAGCAAACAAGCCTTTCTGAAGAACAAAAATATCGGTTTCAAAAACGCACAAAATTGGCATTTTGGTCAAAAAGTTGAAGTTTTTTCATCTTTTGTGTTTATCAAAAATAGGTCGAGAAAAAGTGTTTGCTGACGTTCTAGATAAAAAAGAAGCTTTTAAAGACTATAAAAACAACTTCGTACGAAAAACGCAAAATTAGAATTTTTCCAAAGGGGTTAGTCCATCGTTTTGATAAAAATTTAGAGATTACTTCAACTTTGATTGTTATAAAAAAAATAGACTAACAAAAAGTATCTGGGAACGTTCTAGTTAGAAAAAAGTTTCTATAATCCATTGTAAGCCCCTGTAACCCCTTGTCACCCTTTTTCACCCTTTGTAACCCCTTGTAACGCCCTGTGACCCCCTGTAACCCCTTGTAACCCCCTGTATTCCCATGTCATAGATCGTGAATATAAATCGTTAAAAAACGATTTTTGACGTTTTATATAGCAAACAAGCCTTTCTGAACAACAAAAATATCGGTTTCAAAAACGCACAAAATTAACATTTTTGCAAAGAGGTTAGTCCATCGTTTTGATTAAAATTTAGAGATTTCTTAACCTTTGATTGTTATGCAAAATAGACTAAGAAAAAGTATCTGGGAACGTTCTAGTTAGAAAAAAGTTTCTACAATCCATTGTATCCCCCTGTAACCCCTTGTCACCCCCTTTCACCCTTTGTAACCCCTTGTAACCCGCTGTAACCCCTTGTAATCCCTTGTAGCCCCCTGTAACCCCCTGTAACCCCTTGTAACTCCCTGTAACCACTTGTAACCGCTTGTAACCCCCTGTATTCCCATGTTATGCATCGTGAAAATAAATCGTTAAAAAACGATTTTTGACGTTTTTTATAGGAAACAAGCCTTTCTGAACAACAAAAATATCGCTTTCAAAAACGCACAAAATTGGCATTTTTGCAAAGGGGTTAGTTCATGGTTTTGGTGAAAAATTGGAAATTTTGTGAACGTTTCGTTTTATGCAAAATACACCCAGTAAAAGTATTTGGTGACGTTCTCGTTAGAAAACAAGCCTTTCTAGACAATATAAACATGGATTTAAAAAGAAGGCAAAATTGGCATTTTTGCAAAGGGGATAGCCCATGATTTTGGTCAAAAAGTTGAACTTTTTTCTTCTTTTGTGTTTATCAAAAATAGGTCGAGAAAAAGTGTTTGCTGACGTTCTAGATAAAAAAGAAGCTTTTAAAGACTATAAAAACAACTTTGTACGAAAAACGCAAAATTAGAATTTTTCCAAAGGGGTTAGTCCATCGTTTTCATCAAAATTTAGAGATTACTTCAACTTTGATTGTTATAAAAAAAATAGACTAACAAAAAGTATCTGGGAACGTTCTAGTTAGAAAAAAGTTTCTATAATCCATTGTAAGCCCCTGTAACCCCTTGTCACCCCCTTTCACCCTTTGTAACCCCTTGTAACACCCTGTAACCCCTTGTAACCCCTTGTAGCCCCCTGTAACCCCCTGTAACCCCTTGTAACCCCCTGTATTCCCATGTCATAGATCGTGAATATAAATCGTTAAAAAACGAGTTTCGACGTTTTATATAGGAAACAAGGCTTTCTGAACAACAAAAATATCTGTTTCAAAAACGCACAAAATTGGCAGTTTTGCAAAGGGGTTAGTCTATTGTTTTGGTCAAAAATTGGAAATTTTGTGAACGTTTCGTTTGATGCAAAATACACCCCGAAAAAGTATTTGGTGACGTTCTCGTTAGAAAACAAGCCTTTCTAGACAATATAAACATGGATTTTAAAGGAAGGCAAAATTGACATTTTTGCAAAGGGGATAGACGATGATTTTGGTCAAAAAATTGAAGTTTTTTTTATCTTTTGTGTTTATCAAAAATAGATCGAGAAAAAGTGTTTGCTGACGTTCTAGATAAAAAAGAAGCCTTTAAAGACTATAAAAACAACTGTGTACGAAAAACGGAAAATTAGCATTTTTCCAAAGGGGTTAGTCCATCGTTTTGATGAAAATTTAGAGATTTCTTCAACTTTGATTTTTATGCGAGATAGACTAAGAAAAAGAATCTGGGATCGTTCTGGTTAGAAAAAATTTTCTATAATCCGTTGTAACCGCATCTAACCCCTTGTAACCCCTTGTCACCCCGTGTAACCCCTTGTAACCCCCTGTAACCCCTTGTAACCCCTTGTAACCCCCTGTAACCCCCCGTAACCCCTTGTAACCCCGTTATTTCCATGTCAAAGAACGTCAAAAAAAATCGTGAAAGAAAGATTTTCGACGTTTTATATAGCAAACAAGCCTTTCTGAACAACAAAAATATCGGTTTCAAAAACGCACAAAATTGGCATTTTTGCAAAGGGGTTAGTCCATGGTTTTGGTCAGAAATTTGAAATTTTGTAAACGTTTCGTTTTATGCAAAATACACCCAGAAAAAGTATTTGGTAACGTTCTCGTTAGAAAACAAGACTTTCTAGAGAATATAAACATGGATTTAAAAAGAATTCAAAATTGGCATTTTTGCAAATTGGATAGTCCATGATTTTGGTCAAAAACTTGAAGTTTTTTCATGTTTTGTGTTTTTCAAAAATTTGATCGAGAAAAAGTGTTTGGTGACGTTGTAGATAAAAAAGAACCCTCAAATGACAATAAAAAAAAGTGTGTACGAAAAACGCAAAATTAGAATTTTTCCAAAGCGGTTAGTGCATCGTTTTGATCAAAAATTTGAGATTTCTTCAACTTGGATTTTTTTGCAAAATAGACTAAGAAAAAGTATCTGAGAACGTTCTAGTTAGGAAAAAGTTTCTATAATCCATTGTAAGCCCCTGTAACCCCTTGTCACCCACTGTCACCCCTTGTAACCCCTTGTAAGCCCCTGTAACCCCTTGTAACCCCTTGTAACCCCCTGTAACCCCCTGTAACCCCCTGTAACCCCTTGCAACCCCCTGTATTCCCATGTCATAGATCGTGAAAATAAATCGTTAAAAAACGATTTTCGACGTTTTATATAGCAAACAAGCCTTTCTGAACAACAAAAATATCCCTTTTTTTGTGTTTATCAAAAATGGATCCAGAAAAAGTTTTTGCTGACGTTCTAGAGAAAAAAGAAACCTTTAAAGACTATAAAAACAACTGTGTACGAAAAACGCAAAATTTGAATTTTTCCAAAGGGGTTAGTCCATCGTTTTGATCAAAAATTTAAGATTTCTTCAAGTTTGATTTTTTGGCCAAATAGACTAAGAAAAAGTATCTGGGAACATTCTAGTTAGAAAAAAGTTTCTATAATTGTTTGTAACCCCCTGTAACCCCTTGTCACCCCCTGTCACCCCTTGTAACCCCTTGTAACCCCCCGAAACCCCTTGTAGCCCCCTGTATTCCCATGTCATAGATCGTGAAAATAAATCAAGAAGAAACGATTTTCGACGTTTAATATAGCAAACAAGCCTTTCTGAACAACAAAAATATCACTTTTTTGTGTTTATCAAAAATTGATCGAGAAAAAGTTTTTGCTGACGTTCTAGATAAAAAAGAAGCCTTTAAAGACTACAAAAACAACTGTGTACGAAAAACGCAAAATTAGAATTTTTTCGAATGGGGTTAGTCCATCGTTTTGTTAAAAAATTTGAGATTACTCCAACTTTGATTGTTATGCAAAATAGACTAACAAAAAGTATCTGGGGAGGTTCTAGTTAGAAAAAAGTTTCTATAATTCAGTGTAACCCTCTGTAACCCCTTGTAACCCCCTGTAACCCCTTCTAACCCCCTGTAACCCGCTGTAACCCCTTGTAACCGCTTGTAACCCCCTGTATTCCCATGTCATAGATCGTGAAAATAAATTGTGGAAAAACGATTTTCGACGTTTTATATAGCAAACAAGCCTTTCTGAACAAGAAAGATATCGGTTTAAAAAACGCACAAAATTGGCATTTTTGCAAAGAGGTTAGTCCATAGTCTTGGTCAAAAATTGGAAATTTCGTGAACGTTTCGTTTTATGCAAAATACACCCAGAAAAAGTATTTGTTGACGTTCTCGTTAGAAAACAAGCCTTTCTAGACAATATAAACATGGATTTAAAGAGAAGGCAAAATTGGCATTTTGGAAAGGGCTTAGTCCATGATTTTGGTCAAAAAGTTAAAGTTTTTTTATCTTCTGTGTTCATCAAAAGAGATCCAGAAAAAGTGTTTGCTGACGTTGTAGATAACAGAGACGCCTTTAAAGACTATAAAAACAACTCTGTACGAAAAAGGCAAAATTAGAATTTTGCCAAAGGGGTTAGTCCATCGTTTTGATCAAAATTTTGAGATTTCTTCAACTTTGATTTTTATGCAAAATAGACTAAGTAAAAGTATCTGGAAATGTTCTAGTTAGAAAAAAGTTTCTATAATGCTTTATAACCCCCTGTAACCCCTTGTCACGCCCTGTCATCCCTTTTAACCCCTTGTAACCCCCTGTAACCACTTGTAACCACTTGTAACCCCCTGTAACCCGCTGTAACTCCTTGTAACCCCGTGTATTCCCATGTCATAGACCGTGAAAATAACTCGTGAAAAAACGGTTTTCGACGATTTATATAGCAAACAAGCCTTTCTGAACAAGAAAAACATCGCTTTCAAAAACGCACAAAATTGGCATTTTTGCAAAGGGGTTAGTCTATGGTTTTGGTCAAAAATTGGAAATTTTGTGAACGTTTCGTTTTATGCAAAATACACCCAGAAAAAGTATTTGGTGACGTTCTCGTTAGAAAACAAGCCTTTCTAGACAATATAAACATGGATTTAAAAAGAATTCAAAATTGGCATTTTTGCAAAGGGATAGTCCATGATTTTGGTCAAAAAGTTGAAATTTTTTCATCTTTTGTGTTTATCAAAAATGGATCTAGAAAAAGTGTTTGCTGACGTTCTAGATAAAAAAGAAGCCTTTAAAGACTATAAAAACAACTGGGTACGAAAAACTGAAAATTAGTCCATCGTTTTGATCAAAAATTTGAGATTTCTTCAACTTTGATTGTTATGCAAAATAGACTAAGAAAGATTATCTGGGAACGTTTTAGTTAGAAAAAAGTTTCTATAATCGATTGTAACCCCCTGTAAGCCCTTGTCAACCCCTGTCACCAATGGTAACCCCTTGTAACCCCCTGTAACCACTTGTAACCCCTTGTAATCCCTTGTAACCCCTTGTAACCCCCTGTAACCCCTTGTAACCCCCGGTATTCCCATGTTATAAATCGTGAAAATAAATCGTGGAAAAACGATTTTTGACGTTTTATATAGCAAACTAGCCTTTCTGAACAACAAAAATATCGGTTTCAAAAACGCACAAAATTGGCATTTTTGCAAAGGGGTTAGTCCATGGTTTTGGTCAAAAATTGGAAATTTTGTGAACTTTTCGTCTTATGCAAAATACACCTAAAAAAGTATTTGGTGAAGTTCTCGTTAGAAAACAAGCCTTTCTAGACAATATAAACATGGATTTAAAAAGAATTCAAAATAGGCATTTTTGTAAAGGGGATAGTTTATGATTTTCGTCAAAATGTTGAAGTTTTTTCATCTTTTGTGTTTATCAAAAATAGATGGAGAAAAAGCGTTTTCTGAAGTTGTTGAAAAAAAAGAAGCCTTTAAAGACTATAAAAACAACCGTGTACGAAAAAGGCAAAAATAGAATTTTTCCAAAGGGGTTACTCCATCGTTTTGATCAAAAATTTGAGATTTCTTCAACTTGGATTTTTTTGCAAAATAGACTAAGAAAAAGTATCTGGGAACGTTGTAGTTAGAAAAAAGTTTCTATAATCCATTGTAACCCCCTGTAACCCTTTGGCACCCCCTGTCACCCCTTGTAACCCCTTGTAAGCCCCTGTAACCCCTTGTAACCCCTTTTAACCCCTTGTAACCCGTTGTAACCCCCTGTAACCCCCTGTAACCCCTTGTAACCCCCTGTATTCCCATGTCATAGATCGTGAAAATAAATCGTTAAAAAACGATTTTCGACGTTTTATATAGCAAACAAGCCTTTCTGAACAACAAAAAACATCGCTTTCAAAAACGCACAAAATTGGCATTTTTGCAAAGGGGTTAGTCCATGGTTTTGGTCAAAAATTGGAAATTTTGTGAACGTTTCGTTTTATGCAAAATACACCCAGAAAAGGTATTTGGTGACGTTCTCGTTAGAAAACAAGCCTTTCTAGACAATATAAACATGGATTTAAAAACAAGGCAAAATTGGCATTTTTGCAAAGGGGTTATTCCATGATTTTGGTCAAAAAGTTGAAGTTTTTTCATCTTTTGTGTTTATCAAAAATGGATCGAGAAAAAGTGTTTGCTGACGTTCTAGATAAAAAAGAAGCCTTTAAAGACTATAAAAACAACTGTGTACGAAAAACGCAAAATTAGAATTTTTCCAAAGGGGTTAGTCCATCGTTTTGATCAAAAATTTGAGATTTCTTCAACTTTGATTGTTATGCAAAATAGACTAAGAAAAAGTATCTGGGAACGTTCTAGTTAGAAAAAAGTTTCTATAATCCATTTTGACCCCCTGTAACTCCTTCTCACCCCCTGTCACCCCTTGTAACTCCTTGTAACCCCCTGTAACCCCTTGTAACCCCTTGTAACCCCTTTTAACTCCCCGTAACCCCCTTTAGCCCTTTGTAACCCCCTGTATTGCCATGTCATAGATCGTGAAAATAAATCGTGAAAAAACGATTTTCGACGTTTTATATAGCAAACAAGCCTTTCTGAAGAACAAAAAAATCGGTTTCAAAAACGCACAAAATTAGCATTTTTGCAAAGGGGTTAGTCCATGATTTTGGTCAAAAAGTTGAAGTTTTTTCATCTTTTGTGTTTATCAAAAATGGATCTAGAAAAAGTGTTTGCTGACGTTCTAGATAAAAAAGAAGCCTTTAAAGACTATAAAAACAACTGGGTACGAAAAACTGAAAATTAGAATTTTTCCAAAGGGGTTAGTCCATCGTTTTGATCAAAAATTTGAGATTTCTTCAACTTTGATTGTTATGCAAAATAGACTAAGAAAGATTATCTGGGAAAGTTCTAGTTAGAAAAAAGTTTCTATAATCGATTGTAACCCCCTGTAAGCCCTTGTCAACCCCTGTCACCAATGGTAACCCCTTGTAACCCCTTGTAACCCCTTGTAACCCCTTGTAACCCCCTGTAACCCCTTGTAACCCCCGGTATTCCCATGTTATAAATCGTGAAACTAAATCGTGGAAAAACGATTTTTGACGTTTTATATAGCAAACTAGCCTTTCTGAACAACAAAAATATCGGTTTCAAAAACGCACAAAATTGGCTTTTTTGCAAAGGGGTTAGTCCATGGTTTTGGTCAAAAATTGGAAATTTTGTGAACGTTTCGTCTTATGCAAAATACACCTAAAAAAGTATTTGGTGAAGTTCTCGTTAGAAAACAAGCCTTTCTAGGCAATATAAACATGGATTTAAAAAGAATTCAAAATTGGCATTTTTGTAAAGGGGATAGTTTATGATTTTCGACAAAATGTTGAAGTTTTTTCATCTTCTGTGTTTATCAAAAATAGATGGAGAAAAAGCGTTTTCTGAAGTTGTAGAAAAAAAAGAAGCCTTTAAAGACTATAAAAACAACCGTGTACGAAAAAGGCAAAAATAGAATTTTTCCAAAGGGGTTACTCCATCGTTTTGATCAAAAATTTGAGATTTCTTCAACTTGGATTTTTTTGCAAAATAGACTAAGAAAAAGTATCTGGGAACGTTGTAGTTAGAAAAAAGTTTCTATAATCCATTGTAACCCCCTGTAACCCTTTGGCACCCCCTGTAACCCCTTGTAACCCCTTGTAAGCCCCTGTAACCCCTTGTAACCCCTTGTAACCCCTTGTAACCCCCTGTAACCCCCTGTAACCCCTTGTAACCCCCTGTATTCCCATGTCATAGATCGTGAAAATAAATCGTGAAAAAACGATTTTCGACATTTTATATAGCAAACAAGCCTTTCTGAACAACAAAAATATCGGTTTCAAAAACGCCCAAAATTGGCATTTTTGCAAAGGGGTTAGTCCATGGTTTTGGTCATAAATTGGAAATTTTGTGAACGTTTCGTTTTATGCAAAATACACCCAGAAAAAGTATTTGGTGACGTTCTCGTTAGAAACCAAGCCTTTCTAGTCAATATAAACATGGCAAGGCAAAATTGGCATTTTTGCAAAGGGGATAGTCCATGATTTTGGTCAAAAAGTTGAAGTTTTTTCATCTTTTGTGTTTATCAAAAATGGATCGAGAAAAAGTGTTTGCTGACGTTCTAGATAAAAAAGAAGCCTTTAAAGACTATAAAAACAACTGTGTACGAAAAACGCAAAATTAGAATTTTTCCAAAGGGGTTAGTCCATCGTTTTGATCAAAAATTTGAGATTTCTTCAACTTTGATTGTTAGGGAAAATAGACTAAGAAAAAGTATCTGCGAACGTTCTAGTTAGAAAAAAGTTTCTATAATCCATTGTAACCCCCTGTAACCCCTTGTCAACCCCTGTCACCCCTTGTAAGCCCTTGTAACCCCCTGTAATCCCTTGTAACCCCTCGGCATTCCAATGTTATAGATCGTAAAAATAAATCGTGGAAAAACGATTTTTGACATTTTATATAGCAAACAAGCCTTTCTGAACAACAAAAATATCGGTTTCAAAACCCACAAAATTGGCATTTTTGCAAAGGGGTTAGTCCATGGTTTTGGTCAAAAATTGGAAATTTTGTGAACGTTTCGTCTTATGCAAAATACACCCAGAAAAAGGATTTGTTGATGTTCTCGTTAGAAAACAAGCCTTTCTAGACAATATAAACATGGATTTAAAAAGAATTTAAAATGGGCATTTTTGAAACGGGATAGTCCATGATTTTGGTCAAAAAGTTGAAGTTTTTTCATCTTTTGTGTTTATCAAAAAGAGATCGAGAAAAAGTGTTTGCTGATGTTCTAGATAAAAAAAAAGCCTTTAAAGACTATAAAAACAACTGTGTACGAAAAACGCAAAATTAGAACTTTTCCAAAGGGGTTACTCCATTGTTTTGAACAAAAATTTGAGATATCTTCAACTTGGATTCTTTTGCAAAATAGAGTAAGAAAATATATCTGGGAACGTTCTAGTTAGAAAAAAGTTTCTATAATCCATTGTGACCCCCTGTAACCCCTTGTCACCCCCTGTCACCTCTTGTCACCCCCTGTCACCCCTTTTAACCCCTTGTAACCCGCTGTAACCCCTTGTAACCCCTTGTAACCCCTTTTAACCCCCTGTAACCCCCTGTAACCCCTGGTAAATGCCGGTATTCCCATGTCATAGGTCGTGAAAATTTCTCGTTAAAAAACGATTTTCGACGTTTTATATAGCAAACGAGCCTTTCTGAACAACAAAAATATCGGTTTCAAAAACGCACAAAATTGGCGTTTTTGCAAAGGGGTTAGTCCATGGTTTTGGTCAAAAAGTTAAAGTTTTTTCATCTTTTGTGTTTATCAAAAATAGATCGAGAAAAAGTCTTTGCTGACGTTCTAGATAAAAAAGAAGCCTTTAAAGACTATAAAAACAACTGTGTACGAAAAACGCAAAATCAGAATTTTTCCAAACGGGTTACTCTATCGTTTTGATCAAACTTTTGAGATTTCTTCAACTTTGATTGTTATGCAAAATAGAGTAAGAAAAAGTATCTGGGAACGTTCTAGTTAGAAAAAAGTTTCTATAATCCTTAGTAACCCCCTGTAACCCCTTGTAACCCCTTGTCACCCCTTGTAACCCCTTGTAACCCGTTGTATCCCCTTGTAATCCCCTGTAACCCCCTGTAACCCCTTGTAACCCCGTTATTCCCATGTCAAAGATCGTGAAAATAAATCGTGAAAAGACAATTTTGGACGTTTTATATAGGAAACAAGCCTTTCTGAACAAGAAAAACATCGGTTTTAAATACGCACAAAATTGGCATTTTTGCAAAGGGGTTAGTCCATGGTTTTGCTCAAAAATTGGAAATTTTGTGAACGTTTCGTTTTATGCAAAATACACCCAGAAAAAGTATTTGGTGACGTTGTCGTTCGAAAGGAAGCCTTTCTAGAGAATATAAAGATGGATTTAAAAGGAAGGCAAAATTGGCATTTTTGCAAAGGGGATAGTCCATGATTTTGGTCAAAAAGTTGAAGTTTTTTCATCTTTTGTGTTTTTCAAAAATGGATCGAGAAAAAGTGTTTGTGACGTTCTAGATAAAAAAGAAGCCTTTAAAGAAGAAGACTATAAAAACAACTGTGTAGGAAAAACGCAAAATTAGAATTTTTCCAAAGGGGTTAGTCCATCGTTTTGATCAAAAATTTGAGATTTCCTCAACTTTGATTGTTATGCAAAATAGACTAAGAAAAAGTATCTGGGAACGTTCTAGTTAGAAAAAAGTCTCTATAATCCATTGTAACCCCCTGTAACCCTTTGTCACCCCCTGTCACCCCTTGTAACCCCTTGTAACCCCCTCTAACCCCCTGTAACCCCTTGTAACCCCCGGTATTGCCATGTTATAGATCCTGAAAATAAATCGTGAAAAAACGATTCTTGACGTTTTATATAGCAAACAAGCCTTTCTGAACAACAAAAATATCGGTTTCAAAAACGCACAAAATTGGCATTTTTGCAAAGGGGTTAGTCCATGGTTTTGGTCAAAAATTAGAAATTTTGTGAACGTTTCGTTTTATGCAAAATACACCCGGAAAAAGTATTTGGTGACGTTCTCGTTAGGAAACAAGCCTTTCTAGACAATATAAACATGGATTTAAAAAGAAGGCAAAATTGGCATTTTAGCAAAGGGGATAGTCCATGATTTTGGTCAAAAAGTTGAAGTTTTTTCATCTTTTGTGTTTATCAAAAATAGATCGAGAAAAAGTCTTTGCTGACGTTCTAGATAAAAAAGAAGCCTTTAAAGACTATAAAAACAACTGTGTACGAAAAACGCAAAATTTGAATTTTTCCAAAGGGGTTAGTCCATCGTTTTGGTCAAAAATTTGAGATTTTTTCAAGTTGGATTTTTTTGCAAAATAGAGTAAGAAAAAGTATCTGGGAACGTTCTAGTTAGAAAAAAGTGTCTATAATCCATTGTAACCCCGTGTAACCCCTTGTCACCCCCTGTCACTCCTTGTAACCCCTTGTAACCCTCTGTAACCCCTTGTAACCTCTTGTAACCCCCTTTAACCCCCTGTAACCCCTTGTCACCCCCGGTATTCCCATGTCATGGATCGTGAAAATAAATCGTGGAAAAATGATTTTTGACGTTTTATATAGCAAACAAGCCTTTCTGAACAACAAAAATATCGGTTTCAAAAGCGCAAAAAATTGGCATTTTTGCAAAGGGGTTAGTTCATGGTTTTGGTCAAAAATTGGAAATTTTGTGAACGTTTCGTTTTATGCAAAATACACCCAGAAAAAGTATTTGGTGACGTTCTCGTTAGAAAACAAGCCTTTCTAGACAATATAAACATGGATTTAAAAAGAAGGCAAAATTGGCATTTTTGCAAAGGGGATAGTCCATGATTTTGGTCAAAAAGTTGAAGTTTTTTCATCTTTTGTGTTTATCAAAAATAGATCGAGAAAAAGTGTTTGCTGACGTTCTAGATAAAAAAGAAGCCTTTAAAGACTATAAAAACAACTGTGTACGAAAAACGCAAAATTAGAATTTTTCCAAAGGGGTTAGTCCATCGTTTTGATCAAAAATTTGAGATTTCTTCAACTTTGATTGTTATGCAAAATAGACTAAGAAAAAGTATCTGGGAACGTTCTAGTTAGAAAAAAGTTTCTATAATACTTTGTAACCGCCTGTAACCTCTTGTCACCCCCTGTCACCCCTTGTAACCCCTTGTAACTCCCTGTAACCCCTTGTAACCCCTTGTAACCCCTTGTAACCCCCTGTAACCCTTGTAACCCCTTGTAACCCCCGGTATTCCCATGTCATAGATTGTTAAAATAAATCGTGAAAAAACGATTTCTGACGTTTTATATAGCAAACAAGCCTTTCTGAACAACAAAAATATGGGTTTCAAAAACGCACAAAATTGGCATTTTTGCAAAGGGGTTAGTCCATGGTTTTGGTCAAAAATTGGAAATTTTGTGAACGTTTCGTTTTATGCAAAATACACCCAGAAAAAGTATTTGGTGACGTTCTCGTTAGAAAACAAGCCTTTCTAGACAATATAAACATGGATTTGAAAAGAAGGCAAAATTGGCATTTTTGCAAAGGGGATAGTCCATGATTTTGGTCAAAAAGTTAAAGTTTTTTCATCTTCTGTGTTTATCAAGAACGGATCGAGAAAAAGTGTTTGCTGACGTTCTAAATAAAAAAGAAGCCTTTAAAGACTATAAAAAAAAACTGGGTACGAAAAACGCAAAATTAGAATTTTTCCAAACGGGTTAGTCCATCGTTTTGATCAAAAATTTGAGATTTCCTCAACTTTGATTGTTATGCAAAATAGACTAAGAAAAAGTATCTGGGAACGTTCTAGTTAGAAAAAAGTTTCTATAATACTTTGTAACCGCCTGTAACCCCCTGTAACCTCTTGTCACCCCCTGTCACCCCTTGTAACCCCTTGTAACTCCCTGTAACCCCTTGTAACCCCTTGTAACCCCTTGTAACCCCCTGTAACCCCTGTAACCCCTTGTAACCCCCGGTATTCCCATGTCATAGATTGTTAAAATAAATCGTGAAAAAACGATTTCTGACGTTTTATATAGCAAACAAGCCTTTCTGAACAACAAAAATATGGGTTTCAAAAACGCACAAAATTGGCATTTTTGCAAAGGGGTTAGTCCATGGTTTTGGTCAAAAATTGGAAATTTTGTGAACGTTTCGTTTTATGCAAAATACACCCAGAAAAAGTATTTGGTGACGTTCTCGTTAGAAAACAAGCCTTTCTAGACAATATAAACATGGATTTGAAAAGAAGGCAAAATTGGCATTTTTGCAAAGGGGATAGTCCATGATTTTGGTCAAAAAGTTAAAGTTTTTTCATCTTCTGTGTTTATCAAGAACGGATCGAGAAAAAGTGTTTGCTGACGTTCTAAATAAAAAAGAAGCCTTTAAAGACTATAAAAAAAAACTGGGTACGAAAAACGCAAAATTAGAATTTTTCCAAACGGGTTAGTCCATCGTTTTGATCAAAAATTTGAGATTTTTTCAAGTTGGATTTTTCTGCAAAATAGACTAAGAAAAAGTATCTGGGAACGTTCTTGTTAGAAAAAAGTTTCTATAATCCATTTTAACCCCCTGTAACCCCTTGTCAACAACAACAACAATAAGCTTTATTTGCATGACCATAACAAAGTATTACAGTATTGCAAAAGCTACTTGAAATTACTCATTGATTCCTTGTAAATTAAATATTTAAAATAATTCGAAACTTATTAATCATTGTTTATTTCTAACCATCAGTAGGATTAATTATTCCGGAAATAAGTTTGTCTCTCAATTCAAAGCAAGTTGATATAAATGAAATTAATTGGATGTTAATAAAATAGTCAGTAGAATTCATTAGATGTGATAATAGGGACTCATGTGATTGTAGTCGTAGAAACGGTATTTTAGGTTCTAGTTTAGAGAAGAACATATCTCTTATCGAAGAGAAACTTGGGAATCTAATAAAAAGTGAGTTTCGTCTTCAATTCTGTTACAATTGCAGAGATTGCATAACCTTTCGCCACGTGGTAGATTGTCGTATCTACCTGTCTCAATCCTAAGTTTGTGACTGCTTATTCTCAGCTTCACTAATGTTTTCCTAGAAGGGTTCTTTCTTGTTAAATCTAGGTAGACAGAAGGGCTATAATTCGTTTTGATTTTATAATAAAAGTTAAGTTTTTGTGAATGTTGAAGGGTATGATTCCAGTAAGTGATATATTTCTTTTTCATAAGGTCTACATATTGCTTAATTTTACATTTATTCAGTAAATTACAATTAAAGCCTGGGAAATCATAGTCGTCAGTCATCTTCTTAAGACTGGAGTAAAAACTATTTTGGCCACTATGATAAAGGTCAACAGATATTTTTAAAGATTGTTTAACTATAGAATTTTCATCTTTTTCTTGGAGATAGTTTAAGTAATTAAGTATCTTGTTATTTATATCAATGATCAGAGGGAATCTGCCAAGTTCAGATCTGCATGCAACATTGGATGACTTGTTATGGACTTCTAAATATCGTTTACAGAAGTGTAAATGAGTTTTTTCGATTCCGGAGTTATCCCATGACTGAAAATCTGATTTCACAAAGGCACCCCAAACTTCACTATTGTACGTTAAAATCGGTGAGATCTTTGTGTCAAAACTTTTATTTGCAAGGGAGGGTTTCAGTTTACTAAAATCAGTGTGGCGTCTTAGACTAAATAGAGCATGAAGGGCTTTTTGTCGAAGATGTTCAAGTGAGAGTGTAAAATTTCCGGAAGACGAGATGCGAGTCCCTAAGTAAGTATAGTCTTTTACAATGTCTATCATTTCATTGCCTATGTGAAAAACATAATCACATTTTTTTGTGCCTTTTTGGAAAACCATTATTTTGGTTTTCTTGGGGTTGATTTTAAGCATCCAGGAGTTGCAATATGAAGACAATTTGTTGAGGCAATTTTGTAATCCTAGTTTCGATCGTGATAATATAATAAGGTCGTCAGCATAAAAAAGAGAATTGAGTTTGGTGCCATTTGGTAGCACAAACGGATCAGATAAAATATTGTTGAATGAAAAAGCTAGATCATTAACGTATAGGTTGAAGAGAAGAGGGCTTAAAATGCAGCCTTGACGCACACCTCTAGTGTATTGAAAAGGATGTGTTTGGTTATTTCCAATCCTAATAGAACAGGTAGAGTTTGAGTATAAACTTTTTATGACTTTATAGAAGTTTCCTCGGACATTTATTTGTAACAGCTTGTATAAGAGTCCATCGTGCCACACCGAATCAAATGCTTTTCTAAAGTCCACAAAACATGCGTATACTTTCGTTTTGTGACAGTCAACGTATTTGTCAATTAATGTTCGTAGTGTAAGAACATGGTCAGCGGTTCGATTATTTGCTAAGAAACCTATTTGAGATTTATGAAGTATGTCACGCGACTGAATGTGCTTGAGAAGTCTTTGATTGAGAATTGAGCAAAATAGTTTCCCAAGACAACTAGAAATACAAATTCCTCGATAATTTGAGGGATCACTTTTAGTCCCACTTTTAAAAATTGGTGTTATAAGGCCACCGCACCATGTTTGAGGCATAGTGCCTGACGTCAGAACAGCGTTAAATAACTTCAAATAAATAGGCATTAGTTCATTTAAGCTGGATTTGATCATTTCATTTTTTATTCTATCTGAATACGAAGATTTGTTGTTTTTGAGTTTGTTAGCCGCTGTGCGTATTTCGAGTTCAGTTATTAGGTAGTCCAAAGCATGCGATTGTGTTGTTGCGTCTTCTAATCTTGTTAACTCATCGTTAATGGCTTCTTGGTGTGAATTAAGAGGCTCGTTTGAATGTAGTGACTGGAAGTGAGACAACCAACTTTCTTCTGAGATTGGCGGGGTACTAGTTTCCTTCATAGAATTATCCATAGATTTCAAACAGTTCCAAAAATTTCGGCTGTTTGGGTTATCTATCATGTCTTCTAGTTCCGAGATCTTAGTATCATAGTATTCTTTTCTCTTCTGTTTCAGAACGTTTTTGTACTGTTTTAAGACAGTGTGATAGTTTTCCCTAAGCGTAATATTGAGAGGATCTCTGTGTTTTAGATTAGCAAGTTTCCTCAATTCGTGTCTCTTAAGACGACATTCTTTATCAAACCATTTTTTGTTAGACGAACAGGAGATAATCTAGTATATCGTCTTTTAACGTTCTTAATTTTCAAACAATGTTTTGCGGTTGCAAAAAGAATCCTTTCTACTGCATCGAGAGAGGAGTTAATGTGTTTGTCTGGCCTACTGTCAACAAGAAAATCATGTATCATTCTCTGTATGTCTCTTGTTTGCATTGCTGTTTTAAATTTTTGTGATGAATCATTTTCCCATATAAACTGTTTGGGTAAACGAATGAATGTATCATTGGTATTTTCTGTAGCTAAGTGGGTATTTACCTTAGTAATGTTAAGCCATGTCATTATTGGACTGTGATCTGATAAACTCGACGGCTCTTTGACAACAAAATTCGCGATAGAGTGGAATAAGTCTTGGTCGCATATTGCATAGTCAACAACACTAACTCCTAATTTACCATGAAATGTTGGCCTTCCCAGCGAATCGCCACGGGATCTACCATTCATAATCGTTAGATCTGCACTCCTACATATTTCTAAAAGCCGTTTACCGTGGTTATTTAATTCGTTATCAAAGCTGTGTCGCTGAAGGGCGCATAAGGAGAATTCAGATTGATCGTTTGTTATAATGGTGTTGCCCTCTTGACAGACATTGTCTGAGTATTTGCCTGTTCTAGAGTTGAAATCACCCATGAGAAGAATTGATCCAAAAGCCGAGAATTTCTCAATATCGTTTTCAAGTTCTTCAAATAGTTCAGGATAAAAGTAAATGGAATTTTGAGGTGGGATATATGTGCCACATACAAAGATATCTTTTTCGGTTTTTGTACATTCTTTGGCAATCTTAAACCACCGAAAATTCGGAGATTCTTTTTCCACTGAAATCCAATCACTAAAGTTTGATTTAAAAATCAAAGCTAGGCCACCTGAGCTCCGACCACATTTTCTGTTTTTTAAAGTACTTGTACTCACAATGTTGAAGCCTTCAAGGTCAATACTTACTGATTTCCATGTCTCGGAGAGAATTATGAAATCAAAGTTGTTAATCATTCGTAAACAATCAGGATCCCGTAATTTGTTACCTAATGATTTTGAGGAAAGTCCATTGATGTTCCATGCAAAAAAGGATAACTTATTGGACTGACTTAAGTAGTTTTGCATATCGGTATCTTATCTCAAAGAAGAATTTACTGGATATCCTGGTAAATAGGTCAATTTCATTACTAAGAACAAGGGGAAAATCAAGATCTAAAATAGGGAATAAGAGTAACTAAAGTAAAGTCTTAATAAATCGTAAAAATGATACCAGTTCCTTAGGTATTTCTAATCCCGTCAAGTCAGACTGATTAGGTTGAGGGGAAGCAGGAGAGTTGATTGTTGTTGGAAGCGGACTGTTCTGTATATGACTAGGTAGTGGGTCTCGTGAAGTGTGACCATGTTTGACAGCATCACTGTAAGAGGAGTAGCCATCAGAGGAACTTACATAAGAAGAATATAATGGTGGAGGCTGTTGTGTCCTCGGAGTAGGGTAAGCTCTAGTCCTTGTCAACCCCTGTCACCCCTTGTAACCCCTTGTAACAACCTGTAACCCCTTGTAACCCCTTGTAACCCCCTTTAACCCCCTGTAACCCCTTGTAACCCCCTGTATTCCCATGTCATGGATCGTGAAAATAAATCGTGGAAAAACGATTTTTGACGTTTTATATAGCAAACAAGCCTTTCTGAAGAACAAAAATATCCCTATCAAAAACGCACAAAATTGGCATTTTTGCAAAGGGGTTAGTCCATGGTTTTGGTCAAAATTGCAAATTTTGTGAACGTTTCGTTTTATGCAAAATACACCCAGAAAAAGTATTTGGTGACGTTCTCGTTAGAAAACAAGCCTTTCTAGACAATATAAACATGGATTTAAAAAGAAGGCAAAATTGGCATTTTTGCAAAGGGGTTAGTCCATGATTTGGGTCAAAAAATTGAAGTTTTTTCATCTTTTGTGTTTATCAAAAAGAGATCGAGAAAAAGTGTTTGCTGACGTTCTAGATAAAAAAAAAGCCTTTAAAGACTATAAAAACAACTGTGAACGAAAAACGCAAAATTAGAATTTTTCCAAAGGGGTTAGTCCATCAGTTTGATCGAAATTTTGAGATTTCTTCAACTGTGATTTTTAAGCAAAATAGACTAAGAAAAAGTATCTGGGAACGTTCTAGTTAGAAAAAAGTTTCTATAATCCTTTGTAACCCCCTCTAACCCCTTGTCACCCCCTGTCATCCCTTTTAACCCCTTGTAACCCCTTGTAACCCATTGTAACCCCCTGTAACCCCTTGTAACCCCCCGTATTCCCATGTCATAGATCGTGAAAATAAATCGTGAAAAAACGATTTCTGACGTTTTATATAGCAAACAAGCCTTTCTGAACAACAAAAAGATCGGTTTCAAAAACGCACAAAATTAAAATTTTTCCAAAGGGGTTAGTCCATGGTTTTGATCAAAAATTAGAGATTACTTCAACTTTGATTGTTATGCAAAATAGAGTAAGAAAAAGTATCTGGGAACGTTCTAGTTAGAAAAAAGTTTCTATAATCCATTGTAACCCCCTGTAACCCCTTGTCACACCCTGTCACCCCTTGTAACCCCCTGTAACCCCTTGTAACCCCTTGTAACCCCTTGTAACCCCCTGTAACCCCTTGTAACCCCCGGTATTCCTATGTCATAGATCGTGAAAATAAATCGTGAAAAAACGATTTTTGACATTTTATATAGCTAACAACCCTTTCTGAACAAGAAAAACATCGGTTTCAAAAACGCACAAAATTGGCATTTTTGCAAAGGGCTGAGTCCATGGTTTTGGTCAAAAATTGGAAATTTTGTGAACGTTTCGTTTTATGCAAAATACAGCCAGAAAAAGTATTTGGTGACGTTCTCGTTAGAAAACAAGCCTTTCTACACTGAATATAAACATGGATTTAAAAAGAATTCAAAATTGGCATTTTTGCAAAGGGGATAGTTTATGATTTTGGTCAAAAAGTTGAAGTTTTTTCATCTTTTGTGTTTATCAAAAATAGATCAAGAAAAAGTCTTTGCTGACGTTGTAAAAAAAAAAGAAGCCTTTAAAGACTATAAAAACAACTGTGTACGAAAAACGCAAAATTAGAATTTTTCCAAAGGGGTTAGTCCATCGTTTTGATCAAAAATTTGAGATTTCCTCAACTTGGATTTTTTTGCAAAATAGACTAAGAAAAAGTATCTGGGAACGTTCTAGTTAGAAAAAAGTTTCTATAATCCATTGTAACCCCCCGTAACCCCTTGTCACCCCCTGTCATCCCTTGTAACCCCTTGTAATCCTCTGTAACCCCTTGTAACCATTTGTAACCCCCTTTAACCCCTTGTAACCCCTTGTATTCCCATGTCATAGATCGTGAATATAAATCGTGGAAAAACGATTTTCGACGTTTTATATAGCAAACAAGCCTTTCTGAACAACAAAAACATCGCTTTCAAAAACCCACAAAATTGGCATTTTTGCAAAAGGGTTAGTTCATGGTTTTGGTCAAAAATTGGAAATTTTGTAAACGTTTCGTTTTATGCAAAATACACCTAATAAAAGTATTTGGTGAGGATCTCGTTAGAAAACAAGCGTTTCTAGACAATATAAACATGGATTTAAAAAGAAGGCAAAATTGGCATTTTTGCAAAGGGGATAGTCCATGATTTTGGTCAAAAAGTTGAAGTTTTTTCATCTTTTGTATTTATTAAAAATAGATCGAGAAAAAGTGTTTGCTGACGTTCTAGATAAAAAAGAAGCCTTTAAAGAAGAAGACTATAAAAACAACTGTGTACGAAAAACGCAAAATTAGAATTTTTCCAAAGGGGTTAGTCCATCGTTTTGATCAAAAATTTGAGATTTCTTCAACTTTGATTGTTATGCAAAATAGACTAAGAAAAAGTATCTGGGAACGTTCTAGTTAGAAAAAAGTTTCTATAATCCTTTTTAACCCCCTGTGACTCCTTGGGGTTTCAAAGGCTTAGAGAGGGTTACAATGGGGTTACATACATGGGGTTACAAGGGGTTACAGCCGGTTACATGAGGTTACAAGGGGTTACAGTGGGTTACAAAAGGTTTCAAGGGGTTTGGTTACAAGGGATTACAGGGGGTTATATCTAGGTACAAGGGGTTACATGGAGTTACAAGGGGTTACTGGGGTTACAGTGGTTTATATAGGGTTAAATGGGGTTACAAGAGCTTACAGGGGATTACATGAGTTTACAAGGGGTTACAGTAGGTTACATGGGGTTACATGGGGTTACAAGTGGTGACCAAGGGTTACATGGGGTTACAAAGGGGTTACACGAGGTTACAGGGGATACAACGAGTTACAAGGGTTACAAGGGGTTAGAGGGGGTTACAGGGGGTTACAGGGGGTTACAAGGGGTTACAGGGGGTTACATGACGTTACAAGA